ACTACCGATGTGTAAGTTTCATCAAAATCAGTCCAGCCCTTTCATCGCAAAGGACTATCGCCCGGATATGAATCGTCGTCATGAAAACCTTCCAAGAAGTTGTTATTTATATTCATTATATACATATTTTGTTAAATATATAAATATAATAAGGTATCTTGTATTTAATACCTCTGAAACTTTTAAATTGATATTAATATGATTGAATTGATATTATTTTAATTAAAGGTTGTGTGAATATACATACAAATTTATGTTTGAATGTATTACTTATCTATATAATTTTACTCTAGGAAAAACTTATAGGGCATCTTGGTGTTGATCTTTACGAATATCTCGGAGAAAAATATCCAGAAGTACCTACTTGGGTCAATTTTAGGAGTGTTAAAAGCGATTGTCAACGTCATCGGCATGATATGGTATGAGAGAAGTGACTAAAATCTACTAAATAATTTCATTAATATGCTAATATACTCGTAATTTCATCTTTTGTTAATAAGTACTAATCCTACAGGTACGATATGTTACATTTACACGTGGAGTATACAGCGATGAGATATTATGTCTGTAGAGTTAATGTTACAATCTGAAATCTTTTGTTAACGGAACGCGGTTGTTACACGTGTAATGTAAATAGGTTACTAGTCCGTCTTAAGAAGTTATGAAAAACGAAGTAAACGACCCTTTTGTTGGTAAAATTGTAGGTACTAGAAGACATAAATATTAGAAGGTTTAAATTTTCTCTTACATATCTATAGGTACTAATATTATAAAGAGGTAAAGTTTGTGAGTTTGTGAAGTTGTAAGGGGTAATCTCTGGATCTACTGAACCGATTTAGATGAAATTTGGTAAGAAGATAGTTTGAGACCATGGGCAGGACGTAGGATACTTTTTATCCCAGAAATCATTCCTTAAGGGGGTGAAAATAGAGAGGAAAGTTTGTATGGGGAATCAAGCTAGGAACGAACCCGAGCGAAGTGAGGGTGAGTCACTAGTTTTTAATATACTTAATAATTATAAAAATGCAAAGACATTAAAATTATAAAGAAAATTAATCATATACATATTATATAAAACAAATGTAAGCTTATGTAATTATTACTATTATACTAAGAATGCTGAACGCATTCCCACGCTGAATGGCAACCCCGATTCTTTAGCCGAAAAACAAACCAGCTCTCCTATCACCAGTACAAGCGATACAACATATAATATCTATTTATATGTATTTAACCAAAATCAGTTGCCTTATGTTTTGTGTTCTTTAACAACTTTAATTTAGTCTTCAGTGGTGTATTGAATTTGGTGGACGTGAGCAGGAAATTTTTTTGCTACAATCGGATGTTCGAGGCAATGAAAAAACCTTTTACCTATAAAAATCAAAATATATATTTCATATTTTTTATTCTGATTATGCCGATAGCCATTACAGACAATTCAACAAATTAGAGCGCTTACAAAAACTATCATTTTTTTAAGACTTCTTTAACATTTTTTGAGGATTATGTAAATTTTATTGTCTCTCTTTTCCATAAGTTGCTTAAGTAGTTCTTAATTAACACGGATGCAACTTGCGCGTCCTTTCCTTTCCATTTGCATCCTTTGCAATTCTTATCTAAAGCAGCGTTTATACTTTCTTTGCTCAGACCGGATATAAAGCTGCAAGCATGGTTCGATAACCATCATAGTAAACTTGTTGCACTCAATATTACGCCAAGTACTCAACTATAAAATACATCAAATTAATTATATATTATAGAATGTTCTAAGCTCGAAAATTTGTCAGTCGAAATCTATGTCAGAGTGTAAGTACTATGGGTATAAATAATAAGGGTAAAGTAAAATTTGTAATTAAAAGTTAATCAAACAAGAATATAACAAAAATATTAATTACTTTAGATTAAACTGTTAATTCCGTATTTTGTTTATAAGAAAGTTAACACGTTCACTGCGTCATCATTTTTAAAGAACTTTCAGCTGGTGCTTTGGAGACCTAAAAGATCTCGAAACTAACCTACCCTTTGGTGCGTTAGAGACCTAATCAGTCTCCTAAAAATACAGTTTTGAAAATAACGTATATCTTCCACAAAACTAATGACATATATTTTAAATTTTTTGTGGGTCAAGAGATCCTATTGCTCTACATTTTGCAAGGTTCGCACGCAGTTATGACATTAGAATAAATTACAAATACCAAAAAAAAATTAGATATCGATTGTATCTCGTACCGCAACCGAAGATAGTTCAATATGTGTAGTAAGTAGTGATGGGAATAAAAAAATATCTCAGTTATCGATTGAAAAAGTTTTATTAAAAAAGTTTATTTATAAACTATGCAAAGTGTTTTTCATTAAAACATGGTAAACACATTGATTGTTTGCATTGCGCGCAAATAGTAACAATTCTTTTAGCTTTTTTAGAAGCGTCAGTGCTGTTTAATGTGCGTCGTAATTTTTCATAACAACACACACAACGTCTTTTCTTGTTGCCACGTTGGAAAACATGATCTGTATATCTTCCTTCGGGGAATTCTGTAATAAAAAGCATTATATTTTCCAAAATTGAAATTATACTGGACGATGCACCACTATAATCCAGCGTTGATTTTTCATTCTTAGAAATCTCACCAAAATAAAACAATTTTATTAAATAATTAAATAAAATATATTAAATAAAAATTTTTTTACACTTTTTCGAAACGTGCGCGCAACCTCCCACATCGACACTAGGACAACACTAAATCGATTCACACAGCGCCCGCGCCGCCTACCCTCCCTCTCTTGCGTCTACGAGGCGTACGATTCCACGAGTATCGACATGTCTCCTAACGCAAGGAATAAAAATAATTATACTACTGTGCGTTAGGGACCTAATCCATCTCTATTTATTTTTTTTATGTCCTCGAATTCACCTTTAAGTAGGAAGCAAATATGTATATTTATCTTACTCATACTTAAAGAACTTTACACGTTAGAGCCTCCCGCAAGGAGTGAAACAACACGATTATAGTCAACGCACAATACAAAAGTCCTGCAAGAGATCTGATAGATCTCGTAATGCAGCGAACGTGTTAAAGGCAATTTATACCGATCTGTTTTAAGATTCATCATAAATCTATACTAATATTATAAATGCGAAAGTTTGTGAGGATGTATGTATGTCTGAACGTTTAGATGTATGGATGTATGTTTGTTACTCTTTCACGCAAAAACTACTGTATGGATATTAATAAAACTATAATAATATAGCTCATACAACGGAATAACACATAGTCTATTTTTTATTCCGGTAAATGTATAATTCCCGTGGGATAGATTAGTCCTTTTCTTTTCTTGTCTTAAAAAAACAAGTCTCCAAATCGTAAAATTAATAATGCGGAAATTTTGACTTTCTAAGTTCACCCAATTACGTTTACTTATTTATTATTTTAATTTCACTAAAACGTTGCATAAATGCGATGAACAACTAGAAAAAAATGTAGAACAAACATGATTTTCTATATAGCCTCCCTTAACATATTCAATATTCATATATGTATGTAGTAAGACTTCTCACGCAGCCAGCGGGGCCAAGTTCATTGCAGTTTTAACGAGGTTACACAACAAATGACTACGTGCCTCACTGCCTTACTGCGCGGAAACAGACGATTAAAAAATAAAAATATTCTGGCAATTTGTTTAAAAACTAACGAAAGATTACTTGTTTTAGTGATGAGTTTATATTTAAAGAATGTAAACCCATGAAGGAATGCAACCCATGGAGGAAATATGTACAATAACTAGCATTGTCCGCGGCTTCGCCCGCGTTCAGATGATCAAAAATCAAATTCTTGAATTTTACTTATTAGTATTACTTACTCTTACATATACCAATTTCATTGCACCGCATAATTGGTCAAAGATGGCGGTGATTGACAATGCCACGAAGGTTATCGTTAATCTCATATTTGATATAGTAATATTGCACTGTCTTTTAATAACAGCCTTTATAATATATCTATACTTCAATTTTGTTAGTTTGTTTTGTTTTGGGCGATAAACTCTTAAACTATTGAATTAATTTTAATCATCTATTTACTAATGGACAGCTATGGATTAATTTATATCTAACTGATTATTTAAATTACACAATAATATATTATCTTAATGTTAACTTGTCACGATATAGGGACGGGTTAGCGCTAATCTATATACATATAGTAAAATTATAACTAATTCGAATCTGTACATTAAATATTTTTTTTGGAAAATCTAATTGAAATAGACATTATTATCGATACAGAGTCCTTAGCTTCATAGCTTTTACATATTAGTATACTCTTACATTGCAGTTTTTGTATTTTTTCTCAGAAATGAAATATTTTCCCCTGGTAAAAATATCTTATAATATGTTGACCCGGATAACCAGCTATCACCATACCAAATTTCATCAAAATCCCTCCAGTAGTTTTTCTGTGATGCGGTAACAGACAGACAGACAGAAAGTCAAACACAACCAGACAGACAAAAATTCTAAAACACCAGATTCATAGATTAAAGATTATATGTATAGATAATTCACCATTTTAGTAACTCAATTCCTACTACTTTTATGATTGACATCATACTTTTTCAATATGTTTTTTTTTCAGACAAAAAACAATGTGTTTTAATAGACAAAGTCAATATATAGTTATAGTTGGTTTAAAGTGTAGAACTTTTGAGTTATGTCTTTTTATAATTAGTAAGTAAATAAACACGATTCAATACTCTGCTAATATAGTCTAAATTAAAAGTTAACTAAATTTTAAAATGAATAAGACAATGAAAAAGTTATCAGCTTTTTATCTTCTTATAGGATGCCTTGACATTAGACGTAAATTGTGTTGTTGGTGACAGCATAATGTGTGTTCTCACGATATAAGATTTAATAGACCTCAAGGTTTGAATTATAGTGAGTGGAAATTCTAACCGAAGAATTATATTATATTTTATTTCAATTGCCTAATAAAATTCTTCACCTTCATTATGGCGACCAAATTGAAAATTATCATCGATATCGTTTACATTTGGAGTCATTCGTCTAGACCAGTGGGTAGTATCTCTTAAAATTTTAACGCGATTCCCATAACGAGCCTTGAGAATTTGGTAGAAATCTCTCGTTTCACCTTTAGCTGTTGTTTCCCATGTATGAGGCCTATCACAATACTTCGGGTATTCACAAGTAACTAGAGTCGCTACGGATTGGTTTTTACTGGAGGTCGTTTCTGTTGTTGTTGTCTTTATACTATTTTTCTCATAAATAGTTGTCAATGTTGCTTCAGTCAAAGCAGTTGTTACCGAAGTTTCTTTTATGCTAGGTGTACTTGAGCAACAGTCTTGTTTTTCTTTGATTTGTGATGTAGTTATATTTTGAGGACGAGCAGTACATGTTGTCGAAGTTAACTTTGTTGCATTTGTTGTATTTTTATCATCAATTGTTGACATTTTTGTTATCATTTTAGTCGTCGTCTCAACAGTAGTTTGAATTGGTGTTGATGTTGTTATCATTGATGGTGTTGTTAAAGTATTTGTAGTCATTGAAGTTGTCATCGTTTCAGTCGTTGTCTCAATAGTAGTTTGAATAGGAGTTGATGTTGTTGTCAATAACTGTGTTGTTAAAGTATTTGTAGTCATTGCAGTTGTATCCGTAGAATGAATTGGTTCTGAACTGGTACTTGCTGTGGTCGTTGTTGTTGGCGAAGTAGTTACTGATGTCACAGTTACTGTTGTTAAATTTAACGGCATTTGAGTTATTTCTGTAACTGTAGCTTTTGTTACGTTATCTGATTCAGGAAATGAAGTCTTTGTTGTTTCTTTAGTAGTTGTATTTACTTCTATACTTGTTGATGATAATGTTTGCAAATTCGTTGTTGTGGTTTGTGGACTTTGTAAGCAGTTTGAAAACTCGGTTGGATAATATGCTGTAAAAACGTCATTATGAGTAAAATTACATTTTTTTTCTATTCTTACTATGAAAACGCATGACTTGACGTTCAAAAACTAAAGGATTAACATGATATTTTTCATAGAGATAATTAATTTAAGCGAACTTTTCATTACGATATATAAAGTTTAAATTAAAAAAATAAAGTAATGCCAGTCACTAAAAAGTTATTAATGGAACGGACTTTTTAACTTACCATACATTCGAGGCAAAGCAAAGCAAATTTACTTATTTAGATTTGTATAAGTACTAAATTTATGTATAACATTTTAACTATAATTAAAATTATTACTTTTATTATGTTTAAGTTTTTGATTCTTGTGTGCGTTTGTTACTTCTTAACGCTGTAACAGATCTACGGAGAGCCTATATCCTCGTTAACTCTTATACTAGTGGTTTTTTGTCAATGCGTTATACCTACATGCGTAGCCGCGGACAAATACTTCTTTGATGTGATAAATAAATTACCTTTATGGTTGTCACAATTATATTCAAACATATCGCACTCATCCAAAAATATTCTATTATGTTTATCATTTATTTCTATTCCACATATAGCTGTTCCGGTGTGGTTGCAGATTTGTGCTGACAAGCAAGGTTGTGGTGGCTAATATAAACAATAAATAGTAGCAAGTTTATATATTTCTTACCTATTTAACTATATCATGTAAATAGACAGTACGAGCATTAATGTAATTTAAAAATGATAAAAGTGCAAGAGCAAATGCAGTATATATAGAATCCAATATTATACGATGGTTGTGGTGACACTGACCACTTGTAATGATATAGTAGGTCTAATAACTATCTAGCTTGTACGGCTGCAAATTCTGAAGTCCACATTTCGAGTCCCACAGACCAAGAATATTTTTAAATTTTCTGTTAAAAAATTCTAATTAACAGCCCTTAACTGGAAAGATGGCCATATTCCCCCGTGCCTAAGAGAGCACGTAAAGCCATCGGTCCCACTTACTGAGAGATTTCGCATTTGTTACGCCCACACTTGTACACTAACTTTTGCGCATAACTATAAACTTAGAAAGACTTGCCGCCGCATTCATGTATTATATATATATATATATATATATATATATATATATATATATATATTCATATCCTCGTACAAGTTCACTTAGTACGAGTGTCTTAGATTTGTATAAATGACTTTTTTGTATTTGATAAATCAATGAATAAATAAATAAAAAATAAAATATCTGACACTATGTACTACACTAGAGATCGCATATGGCACTCTGGGAACCACAAAACAAAAAGAATTAAATTGAATATTTGTATTGATGGCATAGACATACAACTTAAAACTAGCTAAAGTGTTAGTTAGCTAAAAAGGAATGCGGATAAAGAACTACCAGTCACTATAAAAAAGAATATAAAAGACAAACGTTTATTAACTTACCGGTACATAGTGTTGTATAGTTAATTTGTGATGTAAAGTTACGATTGCAATTAGTTTAACCAAGACTTTAAACATTATTACATAATAATTATTTTTTATTTAGAATATTATAATGTTTTGTAAATGATATTCATATTTTTTTATTTTAAATTTCATTCTTCAATGTTATTATATATCTACGGCGTTTCCAATTATTTTCAACCTAAAAATATTAAAATAATTCGTACATACATTTTATGTACCATAAACTTTTCAATAAAATTTACTTTTTATAATAATTTAGCTTTCGCATCCGGCTTCGCTCGCGAAGTAATAGTGTCTGTATACACTATTATATGAAAAAAATATATAGAAATCTATACATACTTATAATAAAATTCTAACTGAGTCGAATCTGTACATTAAATATTTTTGGGAAAATCTTATTAATTACTAATTATTATCGATACAGAATCCTATAGTTTTTAGAATTTTTGTCTGTCTGTTTGTCTGGGAACGCATCACAAGAAAACCACTGGACAAATTTTGATGAAATTTGGTATGATAAGCTGGTTATCCCGGTCAGCATATAGGATATTTTTGCTGCGGGAAAATATCTCATCTCTGAGAAATCTATACTAACCGATAAAACGTATCAAGGACGAACCCGAGCGGAGCAAGGGTGAATCGCTATAATCTATAAATACATTTCACAGGGACTTATTTAGCTTTGTATTAATGAAAACAAAAATTCTTCAAGAAAACTTTCTTTATATGCACACATATATACTTGCTTACATACAAACCAACTTTGAAATTGTATCTTTTTAAAAAAATAGTATCTTTTTATAAAATATATATAGGCTTTTATAATAAATAGAAAATCTTAAAATTTATATGATTTATTCTAGAAAATCAGATCTATCGTTTTTTGTAGCCTTGTCCTTTTTTAAAAAAAAACCTTTAACAACTTTTACGTATTTCTTTCCGTTTTTAATTATAGTTTCTTTTTTTATTATCACAGTTCTTATTGGTTTCAAGGTGGTTTTCTTCGAAGAAGATTTTGATACCGTTACTACCGTATAGGCTTTCGTCCGCCGATTCCTTTTTCTTCCAGTTGGAGAATATCGTCGTTTGCCTTTTAACATATGCATTGGTAACGTGACGTTTGTTGTGCTTCTTAATTTCTTACCCATCCTCCTTGATGGTAATTTTGGATATTTATCACCCATCCTATGGAATCTATGGTCAGGACACGTTGGTATGGAAGGACATGGTGGCCTTGGAGGACATGGCGTTACTGGTATATTAAAACAATCAGAATAGTTAATGGCATAATAATCTGAAAAAGATAAATATATTTATTTACTAAATTGAATAGCCGCTATCCCTAAAAGATAATAAAAACCATATATATTGACACTGACTGATTGATTGATAACATACATAAAAACGATCCGAGCAAAAGCTAAGTAAAAACAAAAAAATATATAATATATTTACGTAGGTGCATTATTTCGTGTCGCTACATACATACCTCTCTCAAAATCGCAATTATATTCATACATGTCACACTCATCAATGAATAATCTTCTGTTGTACATATTCTCTTCATTCTCGCTCCCACACTCTGGGATCCAAGTATGGTTACAAATATCGGCTAGTAAGCACCAATGTAGGGGCTGCAAAAATATCAACGTTATAAATTGACCATTATATTTTTAGTACCTGGGTAAAAGAGCTTCATTCGGGGTTTTCCGGAATAGATATAAAAATGGGTTATTTCAGAAAAGACACCTATAAACATAAACTTAAAAAGCAAAACCTTATCTAAATACAAAATTTGATCCAAAAGCCGTTTCTGAGATAATAAATGATCAATTAATATTACAAAATTAAGATAGATTTTTTTTTGAATCTTACTCAATTAATAATAATAGCCTGATGAGTAACTTGGAGAAGAAGTTTAGGGAAATTTGAAATTATATAAAAAACTTAAAAAAAATAAAAACCGACTTCCAGGCACTAAAATATAAAAAATAACTAAACGGGGGTTTTCATTTAGAATAGATACCTAATCAGATATTTTCGAAATCAGTGCCAGCCGATGCAAAGCAAATCTAATATTTTTCGATACGTAAAATACATATTTACCTATTAGATATTGATATCATAAAATATTGTAGGATTTTTAGTGTAGACATAATAAGCAGGTAATTTGTAAGAAACCCCCCAACGTGCGTTCACCTTGTCGTGGTGGGGGGGGCTCAGTAGTGCCCGGCAATCCAGCCGGGCGCGAAGCCAAGAAACGCACAGGGAGGTGGCCCACTTCGGTGGGCGGTGGAAGGTGGCCCTCTTCGGAGGGCGGTGTACCATGCGGGTTGCTCCTGGTACTTCTCTGATAGCAGAGTGGACCTTGGAGCAACCCCGTGGTTGTTGTGGTCTGCTTCGGCAGACCTGCCGTCGGGGCGTCGTAGTTGAATGCGTAAGCGATCCTGCAACGCCCCATTAAGACGGGCGAAGGTTTTGTTGGGTTTTAGTGGGTAGTACTGGCTTCGCCGGTGAGTCCCGCACCTCGTGCGTTTCCCAACGTTAAAAAAAAAGGTAATTTGTGAGAAGAAAGTTTTTAATAACATATTCGAATAAGCAATTTGTTTAAGAAAATATTTATTGTCGATTTTTTTAAAAACCGCTCGACCGATTTCGATAAAATTTATATGGGACCTTTTGAAACAAAATTTTCAAATCGGTTCAGGCGTCTTCGAGTAATCGGTGAACATACATAAAAAAAAAGATTCCGACGAATTGAGAACCACACCCTTTTTGGAAGTCGGTTAAAAACAGTGTACTGATGTAATGAAATGATCGTATCAAAACCGAAATAAAAGATGTCAAGTTGCCTCGATTATATTTTTTTTAAATAACTATTTGCGAATGTTACAAGCTTCTCAGTAGAGAAATAACCACCCCCCCCCCAACGTGCGTTCACCTTGTCGTGGTGGGGGGGCTCAGTAGTGCCCGGCAATCCAACCGGGCGCGAAGCTAAGAAACGCACAGGGAGGTTGCCCACTTCGGTGGGCGGTGGGAGGTGGCCCTCTTCGGGGGGCGGTGTACCATGCGGGTTGCTCTTGGTACTTCTCTGATAGCAGAGTGGACTGTGGAGCAACCCCATGGTTGTGGTGGTCTGCTTCGGCAGACCTGCCGTCGGGGCGTCGTAGTTGAATGCGTAAGCGATCCTGCGACGCCCCATTAAGACGGGGGAAGGTTTTGTTGGGTTTTAGTGGGTAGTACTGGCTGTATTACGCCGGTGAGTCCCACACGTCGTGCGTAAATGCATTTCCCAACGTTAAAAAAAAAAAAAAAAAAAAAAAAGAGAAATAACCACAAACCCTCTTCCTGACTTTTTCTTCCAGGTTCACTAAATACACAGTACAATAACACTAAATTTGCTTTTAGGTTTAATTTAATATATTATTAATATATTACCTATTTATTATGTCAGTAGAATACCTACACGCCCTTCACCAGAGTGACCTTTATCACGAAGTAATGAACTGTAAATCCTCCCACGTATGATACATTACCCTCAAATGTGGAATGTCATTCGAATTGTTCGTAATAACAGAATACGTTTGAGATTAAAATAATAAAGAAATATTATATATTTTTATGTATATAAGAGAACCGCCCTCACGTCACACGAAGCTTAAGAAACCCCACAAAATGCGTACCGTATTGTTTATTCTTCATGATTTGCTTTACTGACACCATGTTTAAATAAAAGTCCTACCTAATTAAATATTATTTGCATATTATAAGGTTTCTGCAGTTTCATCGTAAATATACATACATACATATGTCCAAGTAAATCTGCAGACAAACATACATAAAATTAAAAATGAAATTTTATATTATTGTAAAATATGTGTCAAGAATAATAAAAATAACTAATTAGATGGAATAAAATGCGAATTTGTAAATATGGGTAAATACTCTCTTTATCTTAGTTTACTATATACAGCATTTAGGTTACATAATTACATTACTTGGTCAAATATTTACATTAAACCGTACTTACCCAAACAAAATGTTGTTTTGTAGGATACGGTATCAGCAAAACAACTGTAATAATTGAAAATAAACGCCTTAAAAAATATTATCTGGCAAGCAAGATACATTATGGCGATTTGACACACTCCTTTCAGCTTATCTGAATCAAGATTAGGTATTCTGAAATAGACAAGATAATGCCACGCTTGCCTAACCGAGCTTACAATTTTCATCACTGCTTTCTGACGACACCTTAATACCTGTTATTTTCAATATTCTATTTTTTAAATATTTCCTAATTATATAAAAATTATTATAAAATATTTCCGAATTTCCTTTATGTCCATTAAGAGATTATAATGTAACAATGTAACAAGCACACACTCACATTTCGCATTTATTATATTAGTGCGATTATTAAGTACCAAATGTTCAAAATTACATATTACTTAAATATTTCTATATATTTTTGAATTGATTACCTTAATATTACGTTACGGTTGCTTCCCTATACAAACTTTCACCCCCTTTAGAGATAATTTCCGGGATAAAAACTATCCTATGTCCTTACCAGGGTCCCAAACTATCTTCTTACCAAATTTCATTTAAATCGGTTCAGTAGTTTCGGAGCCTATTGAATACAAAAAAAAACAAACAAAAACATTTTTTCTTCTTTATAATATTAGAATAGATTAGATTTATCAATATTTCTTGAAAATCCGATTTTAAATATATGTAAGTTACACCAGAAATCGTAATAAAATTTCTTACCTATAAATAAAAAATCATAAAACATAGCTAGTCGATTTCATTTATTTAAATTGAAATTTGATTTTATTGCTACTAAGTGTTTAATAACAAATGGTCAACACGTAAAACTAACACTCGCTAAAACTTTATCGGCAAGTTAAATAAAAATAGGATTCTTATAACTTAATCAAGTCTTAAATTGTCTGAGCTGTCATACCCTTGTAATGTCTATACGTTCAGAGATTATATTTTTTTCTATAGTCGGTACTCAGACTAAGGAATAATATAGACAGAGTGACACAGAACTAAATATTAATAGAACATACATACTTGAAACATATTTATTTACATATCAATAAATAAAAAAATGGGTGTAACCTTTATGCGCGGTGGAAGTAAAACTTCTTTGGCAAATATTGCAATTAAATTAAAATAAATCAATAATTAAATAAGCATATTACAATCATATATTTATAGAATATCATATACGGAAAGAATATAATATTATATATTTGTCAGATAATAACAACGGTTACTCTTATTACTCTGTCTGTCTGTTTATCTGTTTGTACGGGACAATCTCCGAGACTGTTTAAATGACAGATTTAAATGAAATTTTGCATGGTGGGTGGTACCTTATATTCCCGGTCAAAATTTTACATATTTTCCTGTGGGATAATTAAAAAACTATAGTAACTTATACAGCTTATTACACAACAACTTATGCACCTAATTTAATAAAATTTGGCGTGCCTTATATTGCCGGTCAAACAACAGGTTACTTTTATCCCAGAAAAATAAGCGGTTCCCGTGGTATAGATCTCTTTGTGCTTTTCTAGAAGGCGAACCCGAGCGAAGCGAGAGTGAGCCGCTAGTCTTTACATATAATAAAATTCTGAGTCAAAAATATTTTTTGTAAAATCTTATTCATTCAGTCATTATTATCGATACAGAGGCTGAATTTATCTATAGTTTTTCGAATTTTGGTCTTGCATCACGAGAAAACCACTGGACAGGTTTTGATGAAATTTGGTATGATGATAGCTAGTTATCCGAGTCAACATATAAGATACTTTTTACTACATGAAAATATATCATCTCTGAGAAATCTATACTAAACGTTAAAACATAATTAGGGACGAACCCGAGCATAGTTTTAGTTCCATTTACACGCATTAACTAATTCTGTGATACTTGTTACTTAGCTTGTAAATGATGTGGTACTCGACCTTAACCCTATAAGTTAAGAAATGGAGGTCAAACAAACATTGCACAATGTGCTTAGAGAATTTCGTCTTCAAATATATTATGGCGATATTTCGCATTCGGTTTTATTCATACACATTTATTTGGTATTTCTTTTACTTAAATTGTTATTAATTCGAAAGTTTATTGATTTCTAATTTATGTTTCTTACTCCTTTACATTGAAACGATTGGACGGATTTGCATAAAATTTAGTTTTTTGTTTATGTTTTTATGACTCACTGGCCAGTAATACCCACCCACTAAAACTCAACAAACCATTCCCCGTCTTAACGGGGTGTCACATTATAGATCACAGACCACAACCACAAAGGTCCCACGGTCCTTTCTGCTATCAGAAAAGTACCAGGAGCAACCCGCATGTACACCGCCCACCGAAGTGGGCGACCTCCCAGTGTGCTTATTAGTTTCACACCCGGCTGGATTGCTGGTCGCTTCTAGTGACGAAGTTACTAGACTTACTCTTACGTTGGGTTCATGATAAATAAAAATGTGATTTTTACGTTTTAATTAAATTTTCCCAATTTTTCTCTTCATTAGAACCTTCCTCGGACTTCAACGAATATTTGAAAAAAAAACATCAGTCGAGCCGTTCTTGAGTTTTGCGCTTAGCAACACATTTAGCCATTCAGAAATCCATGGAGTGATTTGGAAGATATGAGGGAATAAAGAATATTACAAACATACAAAGATAGGCGCGAAAAACATAACCCTCTTCTTGCATTCGGTTAAAAAGAAATTTACTGGTTATCCATTACTGCTAAAAAATTCGGCTTATTAGTTATTCACATGAATTCAAATGTTTTATATGGGAAAACCTTACATAAATATTTCCCATATTTTTTATTTGATGCACATCTATGACGCGATTTAAAAAGCATAATATGAGTATGTTTTTTTTTAAATGTGCATTTATATAAAACTTGTTGCTAAAGATAAAAATACTTATCCCAGAATAAAAACAGTAGTTGTGTTTCGTCCAAATTATAATTTACTCGCTCCGATTTACACAACGCTCGAGAAAACAGAACTACATTTCATATATGAACATCTGTTATATTTTTTTTTAATTTTAATGTACTTAAATCAGATAATACATTTTTTATATCAGTAAAAAAATTGAAATTGTTGACTTTCTACATCTGTATGTTAGTTAAATAATATTTTTACAAAAAAAAATAACAGAGATGTGATAAAGAAGAACAAATAGTATTTAAATAAGACATATTAAGGTTTTGTCTATTTACCTAATAGTCAGCTGATAGGTTTGTTGAATTAAATGTTTTAGTCATGTGTACCTCCAAAATCTATTCTAATATTACAAAGCTTCGTTTTTTTTATTTATTTGAACGGGTCAAAAATAAAATCTAATGCTATCAATATGAAGTAGTAAGAAACACACATACAAACTTTTACATTCACAGATATATCTGGAGTAACACAGACTTACAGTTGCATCAGAGCAAACCGAGGGTAAAACTATACGTATTACGTCTATAGTCAATTCTAATACAAATAATAATTAGTTTCAGCGCAACCGGTTGACTCCATTCAAAGGTCAGAGACATGACCCACGTCTAGTAATTTTGAAAGAAATAAGTCGAAACTAGAAACTACAGCTTGGTTCAATATTTTTCATCTTTTGCGAGAATCGAACCTGGAACCAATAGTCCGAATTTTTATTTTACCTAAATTACATTATTATGTACAAGTTAACATACATATTCTTTAATATTATAGAGAAAAACAAAGTTTAGGTTTGAAAAGGCAACAATTTGTATCAGATATTACGTACATCCCCTGTGGATTTTATTTTGCTATTTGATTGACTCAGTTTGTGGTAAAGGTCATTAGATATTAAATCATAATGAATATATTATATCAAACGATGGCTTCGTATGAAATGAAACTTAATATTTAACATATTTGGTCTCATTTTTTCACAAAATATACAAAATATAGTGGTGAATCACTGTTATCTCTGCCCACGCAGTAGACGGTATGGTATGATTGGAAATGAGAAATATGAAATATGGTTTAATTTGATGAATCCAATTTCATATTCCTATACACAAATCCAACTTTATAAATATGTTTATTGGAAAACTTATAGTGGTGAAAGGGATCTCATTTGCTCTAGCAATTTCTCGAAATATAATTCTTTATTCTCTTTAGGTAGAAACCAATTTAAAGTATAAATATAAAGGTATAAATAGGTGTAATATTTTCTCAGAAACTGCTTTGCGTTGACCTTAGCGCACTATAATATGTATATAATAGTTTAAAGGGCAAAAGATCAATAAATATGAAGTATGACAAAATGATACTGACGATGGAGACTGTGATACATACATTGCAAATTAAAGGATTGACCCTTTAAGAATATGGTTATCAAATGGGATTAACTTCTATTAGGATAAAACAGTCGCCAACGCAAACTTATCCATGGCATTACGTAACACCCACATACCGAATTGATTTTTGTTCCTCACCCTGCCGAAATACGCATGCGTCGATTTATACGCACACATCTTTGATAAAACGCCCACATACATACACGCTTAACATCAACTTTCTAGGAAATTTGAACCTTATTCTATTAACAGTCAAATTGAATTTGATATAAAAATTCAGATGGTATTTTTAGACCATTCGTACCTATTAGGGAATATACTGACGCGCCCTCTCTCATGCAAATCGCGAAACTTGTCACGGAAGGTTTTCACATCTATCTGTGTTTTATTTAATATCGCGTATTTTAGCATTGTTCTTACAGTCGAGCCGCTTTAGTATCTAAATAGTTTCGCTGGGACGTGATTCCTATAACGGATAGGGCTTAAAAAGCTGTTTTTAGGGTGAAAAAATTTATCCTAAAAATAGATTGGCCGATATACTTGTAGGAAAATCTAGTAAGCATCCCATTCATAAAATACATTCATTTGGTGCTGGGCAGTGAAGGTGCATAGGTCGGGCATCCACATTCTACAGTGAATGAACATTTAGAATATCATTTGTGAACGCTATAAACGCAATTTATTCGGATTATCTTCATCTACTAAGAAACCATATCAGCTAACATGTAAGTATTCACTTTTTTAATTAAAAAAAAACTAAACTACTTTAGAAAATAATTTAACATACTATTTATTTAAAATTAGTGAAATACGAGTATCTAGCATGTACTATTGTAATTTTTATTTGTATTACGTTGTAGGCATATGTCTAAGAAACCTAGGAAAGTTACAAGATAGGCCATCTTCTTAGAAAGGTTTTGCTGTATTTAAGATAAATATACTGTTTTAGTGATCAATCATTAATTATTCATAATACTTAGCAATATTTTTGTGTTTTAAGAATATTAGAATAAATTCATAATATTATACTTAATTATTTATCATTATTAATATAATATATTTTTTTAATAAAAATAACCGCCGCTATAAATATTTTTTCATATCCAAAGAGTAAATAAACGACAAAGGCTTAATCCACTTTAGTATAGACCATATCAGTGAAATTCCATCATATACGTCCTGTCTGCTAACACAATGACAGGATTTACTAGGAAATTGAATAAGATCTACACAATAGCCATTGAAAACTCTCGATGATGGGCTTCAACGAAAACGTCGATATGGCACTTTACTGAAGCTTTACTGTGGCTCTTGAATATCATATGCCTTGTCATAAGCCTTCTGTAGATCGATGCAAACTTGTTAAACCCGAGCGAGACTGTTTAGGATCAACGAACTATAGAAACTTGTATATTTATATCCATATGACATATGAAATAGGTCAGTATGGAAATGACTGATTGTTATAAGAGTAGGAAAATTTTGCCTTAGAGTTATTACGACTTCTCTTGTCGTCAATATTAGTGTTAAGGAAACAAAAAGTTTTTAAGAAAATAAATATACAATTTACCGGTAAAGCAAATGATACTCGTAACTTATGGGATTAAATAAAACAATTGGATTTTGTTTCATTTATTTCAAAGACCTCGCTTGGCACAAACGATTATCTTGAAAACTAAGATTTAATTTTTTTTTTTTAAATACAATGTACACACCTTCGTAAAACTATTAAAATCTATTGCGTAGTTAAAATTTAACTAAGTGCTCATATAGACAGATATCAACAGTGACTTCGTTTTATATCCACATAGTTTTTTTTTGTAATATTATAAATGTGAAAGTGTGTTTGTTTGTTTGTCTTTCTTTCACGTCGAAACGGCTTGTCGGATTGGCGTGATTTTTTGTGTGAAGATAGTTGGAGGGTTGAAGATTGACATAGGCCGCGGGGGATCATCTCTTTCCCACGGGAAAATACGTTATAATACAATCCAAAAAAAATATTTATGATCAGAATTACTTGAAACTTGGTATAAATGCTCTTCAATACAATTAATTAAATAGGTGCTTTAGCGTTTTTCGAAATTCATCCTATAAGCGGATAGATAAACTAGCGGATGAAAGTTTGTATGAAACCTACCATTTTAGAGTTTTTTTTTGTAGTTTAAGCCGCGGGTTCTGCTAGTTATTTAATATATAAAGGATGTAGAGCATCATCATCCTATTTCATACTTTAAACTAATAATAAAATAATTTGTACTAAAAGAGGGCAACTTACAATTTTTTCAAGTGAAAAGGGACTTTAATGATTAACTGGTTCAGTCAAATACTTTCATTATACAAAGTATTGTTGTACATAAAATGTAAAGTATTAATAAAAAAAAATACTGTTAAAATAAGCTTTTTGGGGTACATTGATATATAAATATTTCTGTTGATTTTTATCTAATAATTAGTAATTATGCTATAATATATAATAATTATTGATTATTATATATTTATTAGTTTAAAAAAATTGTTACATTTTTGACAAATACTACTACATACATCTCCCATACATTGGACAAAAGGAATCCAATGAGCTAATTCGAAGATTTTCCTAGTAATCAACGAAGAATATCAATATCTACCGTGTTCCATCATCAAATCAGCTCGATCATATTTATATTGGTGTAGTCACATTATTATCTAAATTCAATATAGGAACACAATTCCAAACCAATATCACCTTTAGAAGTACATATGTGGGTTAAAATCGAACACCAAGATATGATATCGTAGATACCAAGCAATAAATCTAATCAAACCATTTAAGAAAAAATGATAAAATCTATATTCATAATATAAAATTATCTTTTAGTTATAAATTATAAACAAATATTATTTTTGTTATAATCTAGTATTCTATAATTACCAATCTCGATAAGTAAGAAATAGATTGCAATATAATTTTGTTGAGCTCGTCCTTTGATACAACTTTCTCTATGCCTTCTATAGACATATACATAATATCCTGTGTGATGTGCACCACAGCCTGTCAACGCAATTTAGCGGTATAACTTATCCAATTAGCATAGTAAAATGGGCATTAAATGCATTAATCACATATGTATTATATTCTTAAAACACGGCTTACAATATTAAATTTGGGTACGTTTTATACCAATTTTTTCTCCTTTCAATAAAAAGTAGCATTTAAATATGTTAAATTCACAAGCATTAATAATTAAACTCAAATAACCTCTTTCATTTTAAACTCAGTTAAAAATAAAAAATATCTACTTCGTTCTAAAGATAATTTTGTAATTAATAGAGGCTTTATTTTTCTTTAAAAAAATTATTATGTGTCTTTGACCTTTACTCGATAAACCCATAAACTTCATAATTTTTTTAAATTTTCAACTAGATTCTCTTAAAATTGATATTGCCCCTTTGAGTTTTGAAACATAATATCGTTCCAAGAAATTGTACTCAAACAAAACTCGTGATACAACAATCATAGATAATAGAAATAACATAAAAAGGGGACTATTCATATAAGGCATTAAATAGTGGGAATAAGATAATTAATCAATTGTTTTATTATTAAACTAGCGGCTCACCCTCGCTTCACTCAGGTTCGTCTCTAGAAAAGCACAAACAGATCTATCCCACGGGAACTCTTTAATTTGCCGGGATCAAAAGTATCTAAAATGTTGATCGGGGATATAAGGTACGGCCATGCAAAATTTCATTTAAATCGTTCCACAGTTTCAGAGATTAACCCGTACACACAGACAAACAGATAGAGAAACAAAAAATTTGAAACAAATCTGAATTTTTTCTATTTCTCTTCTTATATCCCCATAACTCGGTTTTTAGCGGGTTTTTTTCTATGTACAAACTAAATAAAAATAACTCACTTTTACTCTACATTGCATTGCTTTCTTTATATTATCTACATACTTTCCTTTGCGATATAGACAGAACAACCTTATGAGATATCACTTCTTTCTCGATCAACTTACCTAAGACTCTACCCTTAAATTGTCAAACCTAACGCACTTTATAATAACTAGACTTATACAAACTTTTTAGCAATGCATATGGGAATAGAACCCGTGAACTTCAACGTTGAAGCCATCGATATATATATATATATATATATATATATATATATATATATATATATATATATATATATAATTTAAATATCAGTCTATGTTACTTAAAATGTATGCCAAATGAGTAATAAAGAACATTTAACAGATTAAATCTGCTCCACTTGCGGTTACAGACTACGAATGCGGGTCTGAACTTCAGTTGTGATGTTATCTTTTATATGTTTTTAGGACAAAAGAAATGTATTGTTAATTTGCCTGAATAGAACGGAATTTTATTTTACTTTCCATTCATGTACATTGTACACTAATTCAAACAGTAAGCCATTGAATATTTTATTGTTAAAATGTTTATATTGCTTCAATATTTAAAAAGGTCGTCTGTTTGTTTATTCGATAGTCATACCTTTATAGGATAGACCCATAATAGAAAACCGTATGAAATTACAGAATAATATAACTTATTGGGGTAAATACACAAATGATAAAAATTCGAGATAGACCCCTAGACCAGAAATGTGGTTTTATTAGTTTTTCTCTTAAATGATGTAATATTTTAATAGTTATTAATTAAAGTTGAACGGACAAAAAGGGAAAATGATCTTTTATGTATTGATCAACCAACTTTTTGAAAATGATCCCAATTTGGCAATTTAATTTTTCACAAATTTAATAAATTAATATCTTAAATAATATCTTTTCAAAACCTATATAATATTGACGACTAATTAAATAGATGAAAGTCAAATAATAATAGCGTCGCCAATTTCAGCCTCCCTCATTATGAGTGAAGTAGGCTTTTGAACAGTGGAGAAGATGAGCCCTCATAATATAATCTTGTATACTGAAATCATTCGAATTCTCATATGTATACATATATACTTAATTTAAGTGGTAGAAGCAATCTCACATGGTTATTTGTACGATACAAAAACCAAGATAACCGCTGAAAATATTTATCTGTCACTAATCCCGCCTAATCTTTCGAACGGCAGATCATATTTAGATAGGTACTTATGTACATTTTCCTTCTGAAATATTGTGATTATAAACTTAAACTGTAAATGGTAAAAAAATTGTTTTTACCACATAACTTATTTTATACTAGATATGTTCAATTATAAAACTAATTAAAATTATAAAAATGTGTAAAGTTATAAAATATTGTAAGGTACTTGGTGCAATTTTTCATTTTGTTAATTGTGGGTAGGCTGTCTGTTACAACTATACCTTCGAGACATGTAACACCTCAGTCTCTCCCGTGACCATGATTGCTGTTAAGCATTCGAAACGTCGGGAACCAAAAATCAAAAAATCAAAAAAATCCACGAAATAATCCGAAAAGATAGTTTTATTTAAAAGGATAGAATAACTTTTACCGGACGATTAAAAAAATATATATTTACAACATATTATGTTATCTTATACATATAACATATATTTTAGAGATCGTTAATTAATACTAGTAAATTTGACATTTGCACGTTAGCCTAACGAATGGCGTTTCAGCTTCCACTTTCAGCTGAAGAACACTTAAGCTACAAATAAAGGACGCATGACCTGGCAGCAAACCAAGTGGGGCATAAGAACTTTGCAGAACACATGCCAAATCTTACGAGCAAAAATATTCACAACTCACAGTATATTTACTATACTGTACATTTCTTCTGCATTTTCATAGATTTTTTATACTATAATTATGTCTGTTTGTGTGCACACGTATGCACAGTTATAATTTAATAAAATAACCTTAAAATATTTTTTCAAAAGTGTTACCAAAATATGCGTAACATTCAAATTCTTGCATTTTAAGAATAATTTAATGACACTTTTTAATAGTGTATCTATTTCGTAATTATTGATCAATTAAGTACTACTTATGTTATGAGTAGTATATAGACCCCATATTATGTAATATTGAGTGACTGCTGCTTCAGGAAAATGATTTTCAGCAACTCAACGTCATCATGAACAATCAAAATCTCAAAAATTTAAACTAGAGCATGGATGTTGGACGCTGAGTTTTTGCAACTCTCGTATATGTAAAAGCAGTAAGGCTTTGAACTTGGTGTTAATGTAGCGATAACTAATGAAAAGACATTACAACAATTAACATAAAATGGCCAAATACGAATCAGACTCACATTGGAGGTATATTATAAAAAAAAAATTTGTTGGGACATTAACACACAGCACCATCTAGTACCATGGTAAGCTATGAGGCTTGTGTTATGGATACCAGATAGTTGATATACTACACATATATAACTTTAAATACTCGTACATACATATTATAAATATTAACACCCATGACTGGAGTACAAACATTCGTGCTCATCACACAAATGAATGCCCCCAGCGGGACTCAAACCCGCGACCGCTGGCACAGCAAGTAGGGTCACTACCAACTGAGCCAAACGTGTCGTCAAGTATAGTTCAAACTATTTGAAGTACATACTATTCGGACAGGTACTTGCAATTATATTAGATAAAACTTGAAAACTTGCCTTTTCACATCATAGAATACCTTATCCTTGGTCTAATGGCCATCTAAAAATTTTACTTGAATAGATCTTTCTTTGAAACTTAGACTGTGTTAAGTTGCAGATGTTATAATAATGATACTAAAATGTAAATAAGATGATATTTTTTATATCTTATTATAATATTAGACTTAGTATATATAATACTTGTTAACAGTATAGAAGAATTCTTTACATTTTAAATTAAACGATGCAATATTGAACTTAAATAGGTACCTACCTGTAGGATAAAATTATAATAACGGCAATCTACGACGAGTTTCCACACTACTTGCAAATTTCCTGGCGCAGTTTCTTTGAAGGAAGTCATAAAAGTTAAACAAAGTTCAGATTTATTAAAGAGAAAATTTTACAATACATACCTACCTAATTATTTTATACAATTTTATGTAATCGATGTTATGGATGGTGAATATTATTTTGTTTTGTTGTTGTTTCATAGATTAATTTTAAGTTAGTATAATAGTTTTCGAAACGCTTCATAGATAAGTATACTTTGAAATTACAAATAAATTATTGATTACAATAACATTGGATAAGATTATTATAGTCATTTATGGTATCGATTTAATTGTATCGATTTTAAAAGCGCATCGCTCATTTACTATAATTGAACCCATGTTTAAAAATTCATCGAATCTATAAACGGCGCCATCTGTTTGCAAATGCATGCATTAATTCGTAATTCTTCTGAGCTTAATTAACTTTACCGAAATATAAAATCATGATTTATAAATAAAAGCTTATAGAATCAGCTATTTTACAAACAGATTTTTTATGTAAAATACTAACGTATTCTATTGGGATGATGTTAGGCTTGGTGACAGATCCGACACAGATTATGATTGGTGAGAACCTAAGCTTCGCTACGCAACCTCTCTAGCCTGCTCGCTACGTATTCTTTACTTGAACCTAGAAATTCTAACCCACATTGCTTTATTTTACAATCCAAAGTTTTACAGTTTGCCATCGTCATATAATATAATAAGAAGCATTTAAAAACAGACTGAGAACGTTTGTTTGTATAATGACGATTCATACAATAAATCTGCGATATACACCAACATAAAATGAAACGTAGGGAACACTAATGTGTATTTTCATGATTCTAATATCTATGCATTTACTTGCCCAAGCTAATTTTAAAAATCAAAGAATCGATAAGTTTACTTTTATAGCAACATTAAAAGAATTTATAATGACACTAAGCTCTTATTTAGTTTTAATCTTTAACGCTTCAACGGTCGCGAACATGTCGGCATGGCAGTTAACAATCGATTTCCCGGAAACTAACTATCTATCAAAGTTCCTGCAGGAATACTAGATCTTAGAAACTCTTAAAATTACACGAATTCAATAGTGATGCTTTAGACAAGTCCTTTACAAGAACATATTAAAACTATACGCGTTTTTTTTTTATTGAAAGTTAGTTAAAACAATCAAATTTATTGTAAGAATAGGTACGTACAGGGTAATATAAAATAATGAAGAATAAAAGAATTTATTACTATACTTTTATAACAATTATTAGGAGTAGACATATTTTATTTCGTCTCTGGGGAAATGAAATAAAGCAATTTAACTTATAAGGCTACTGTTACTAACGGCATCCCTTTTAAGGCTGCTTTTTTAACTTTATACCCGAAACATATCTGTTCCTTATTCAAACTTTCACACCGTTAAATAAACCATTGGCTTAATAAATTATTTCATTTTAATTACCTATTGTTATAATAGGAATGAGCGGTCAAAATTAAAACCCTTCAGATCCCATGGTCTAGGCATTGATGAATAAATCTTATCTAATAATAATAAATAAAAATAAATGTTCATATATTTGTCCTCTTTGCGTTCATTAATCTTTGGTCCGATTGTGATGAAACTCTGGTGGCTTATTCTGTACATGCCTAGGGTTCCTGGCGCAAAATAAAAATCTTTGAACGCTTGTCTTTTATCGTTCCTAAACCATTCAAGCACGGTAATGTTATGCAATTACCGTGATTCAAGCCTAGGGACGTAACCGAACGAAGCGAGGCTAAGTCGCTAGTAACTAACTATATAACATACTAGCCGCCCACCCTCACTTCCCTCGGGTTCGCCTCTAGACAAACAAAAACAAATCTATCTCTCGGGAACCGTATATTTTACGGGATAAAAAGTAGCCTATGTGTTATTCCAGACTATAATCTATGTCTGTGCCAAATTTCATCCAGATCCGTTCAGCCGTTCTGGCGTGAAAGAGTAACAAACATATATCCATACATACATTCTTATATACTTTCGCGATTACAATATTAGTAGGATAATATTAAATTAATACAGATAATACGGATATACAGAGAATAAAACTATAAAAAATGTATAACTGAGGTAAGTTATACATTTTTTATGGTTTTTTTAAGCAAAGCTCAATATTTTTAGCTAACCATTATTAATATTTTAATATTGTTAGTTTTACGAAATACCTTAACTAAACTATTTCAAATTAATAAATATTTCTATCAATATTATACACTTGCTCGCTATATAAACTTAAGTGATACACGACAAGTGACGTATTTCCACGTGCCGTCTGGTTACCGACGAGACAAATCAATAATCATGTTGTTTTACTACATAGACAAAGGAAAAGTAATTTGTACCAATGAAAACCAGAAAATATGTCACTCCTACCTTTTATTGCTATATTATACATCGACTTTCTTGCCATTATTTCAATTTATGAATTTTAAGTCATTGTTTTGTAGAAATATCACTATTTATCACAATGTATTTTTTCCTGATAAAATTATATATTTTCGTGAGTACAGTATGTATATATATAATATCCATAATAATAATAGATTGTGCACCCAATTTCTTTTTTTTCTGGTTATAGTCATCGTATTTAAATAGTGGATTAATACGCTTTAACTAACCCAAAACATTCTGCCAATTTAATATAAAATATTATGATTATACTATGTATAGTTGGAATGTACTTGTACCATAAGGGTCCATGACACAAAGGTGCATCTAACGGTTGATTCTGTCTAAAATTCTGACTGGAGTATGAAATAATACAAATTTCAAATTTGTCTGAGAACATTGTAAGGCTTACACAAAAAAAAAGATAGCGAGTTTTTCGTTCAGCCTTATAAATAAACTAAAAGAAATAGGTATTATTGTGTCCTATCAAAACAGATTATATAAATAAAACCAGACTAATGGTTTAAATTCTTTAGAATATTTTTAAATCTATACCTATATTAAAATTCTAACTGAGTCGAATCTATACATTAAATATTTTTAGAAAAATCTTATTGAAATAGACATTATTATTGATACAGAGGCTGAATATATAGTTTTCAGAATTTTCGTCTGCCAGTCTTTCTGTTTGTCTGTCTGAGAACGCATCATGAGAAAACCACTGGACAAATTTTGATGAAATTTGGTATGATGATAGCTTGTTAACCGGATCAACATATGGGATACTTTTTGCTGCAGGAAAATATATTATGGCTGAGAAATCTATACTAAACATTAAAACGTAACTAATAAGCAGTAATTAATAAGTAATAATATCGTTGTAGTTTTTTTTTGCCTTGTCACCTCAGAAATATGTAAATGCTGGAATAAAAAATAATAAAAAGAACTTTGACCGATATCACTTAGGTCGTAATTAAAAATGTATTATAGGGTATATCAGAACATAAAAACTATAAGTCCACAATATTTTTATTGAACGGTCGTAGGTCGTTAGGTGGTGCATTCACCTTTAAAGACGAAATTTTCATTTGGAATTTATTTATAAAGCGAATGACAATAAATTTTTTACAATGAAATTTAAAAATCAATACAAAACATTTTATGGATTCTATCATTCTATAGATATGCCATAGATAAATAACTTAATAACTTAAAAGTCCCGTATTTCATCATTAATTTATCCTTATCGAATGTAATCTTGCATAGACCATTATATTCCTTTGTTGAATTTTCATTTAATAGAACAACATTGTAATCGGTTACATAATATTTAGTTATTTGATAAAAAAATTATCTTTCTTTCTCATAAAATTTATTTATTGTCACAGGGCAACAGAGGGAGGTCTGGCGCCTGGCAGCGATGACATGCCAGTGGGAGGACCCAAGACTCCTCAACAGATCGCTGCCCAGCGTCGCTTGCAGCAGACGCAAGCGCAAGTAGATGAGGTATATTTATAGATGTACCTATTTGTTATTATTAAATTTATGAAGTTCTTCGAATGGTGGTTCCAACTTCCAAGATTTCCACCTAGACCTTCTGGATTAATTAAGTATAGGTATATGTTATTACTAAATTAATTTAAAAAAGTATTGTAGTCTATCGGTCTTGGGCTCTTTAACAAGAGCAAAGCCGCAGATTTTACTAGTTTCTAATATAAACCAAATTTTTCCGTTCCTACCTCTTTGTAAAATATTGCTTTGTGTCGGCAAATCAACAATATAATAAAATAACAACAAAAGGGCTTTCGAGTTAAATGGTTTAGAAATTGGTGCTTTTGTAATATATATGTAGGTACTATATAATACGATTCTTTACTGAGATTTCATATTGAATTCCTTTGTTTCTCAGGTGGTGGACATAATGAAAACAAACGTGGAGAAAGTATTGGAAAGAGATCAAAAGCTCTCAGAACTCGACGACAGGGCAGGTATGACTCTCTGTTATTAAACTTTAATTGGAAATTCAATGACGGGCAATTTCATAATACTTTTTTCCATAAAATCAAAAACCAATATTTCACTATAACATAGTAAATTGTAAATTAAGTAGTAGCTTAGTTAGTCTTAGTTGCTTTATTAGTTAGCTTTTCGTCTTTACAGATGCTCTGCAGCAAGGCGCGTCACAGTTCGAGCAACAGGCTGGAAAACTCAAAAGCAAATTTTGGTTGCAGAACTTAAAGGTGCGAATGTGTTGCTTATTTTATTTTTAATACTATTAGCGAGGTAGTCGCTATCACACTTCGTTATAATGGCGCCCAACGTGGGACAAATTAAACCGTTTTATATTCTGCAATTATTTTGAAAGCAAGTAATGCTTCTATATAATAATTAAATAACGTTAAAATACGCTTTGCAGCTAAAATACAACTTCTTTAAATAATAATTTAAATTCTTTGCGATTTTACAGATGATGATAATTGCAGCAGTCATCGGAATCATTATTTTAGCCTTAATTATTGGTAAGTTTCCCGTCTAACTACCTCGTGCACATTAGAGAATGTCGCTCTTAAGTTATTTTTATATTTGATAAGTTTTTAGACTAACCATGCTATTATTTTTTCTCACATTTTCAGCCAACTTTGTGTGAACAAGTTTCGGTAACCGAAGTTTAATTTAGAAGTTACTTGTTATAATATATAAATAGTAATATAACGTATGTTGTTATTTTGTTATTACTATTTGATATTTAACCTCTTTTGGTAAGTTGGCAGTGTCGTTGTTGATGAAAAGCCTGATAAGAAATAACTTGGCAAAAGTGCATTTAAGATATTCTTCTAATGAAACTAATTTGAAGCATTGCTATTTATTTTTAACATCACTGTTGCCAACTTATTCTAGTCATACAGCTCGATGAGTAATTGTGATACTACTGCAACTTAACATTATATCGTATATACCTAATAATTAAATTCTAAAACTGTCTTTCTTTAAGTTAAATTTGAAAATGTTGCAATATTGTCCCAATTACCATCAACCTTGTGTATGGGTCTAAGTGTTGGCTTTATCTGTTCTACTGTATCTTCGTGTATCGTATGTCTCTGGAGTTTCATGCTGTCTTCTATAAGTTTACTCATAGCTGACACTACGTTTCAATGTTTACATTCATAACTTATTTTTTTAACTCTTTGTTCCATCCGTTTTAAATTAAAATATATAAAAAAGTTATTAATGTAAACTATCGTACAAAATAATTTCAGCTTTGTTTTGCAATTGTGCTACGTTGTGTATAATATTGCTGTTACAACTTATACAATATACTTAAATATAATAAACAATAAACTATAGATAACTATATGCTTTAATAAATCTGTCCTCCAAGAATGCAATGCTTACCCCAAGTATCCCCTACTCTATTATGCCTTAAAGACGATGACGTAGGTCCTAATAATCTTGAGATTTTTTCAAGTCACTAAGAGATTTCAAAGCCTCTTCCAAATGCATATTAGCGTAATGTAGAAAATTCTCAATTAATATTCCAATTCTTCTTCACTAGATAAATATAAAACAAACTGATACATTTTCTATTTCCTGAGTTTGGTCTTAATTATCCTGTTGTCAAAATGAAACATTTAGACCGATATCTTTTTGTTTATTTCAAACATTAATATTTTTTAAATATTTTCTAGGTCTGTAAACACCGTAATGGAGGAAAAAGGCCAAGGTATGTTTATTACTCTTCTTTAGTATTTAATTAGTAAAATATAATGATAGAAATAGACAGTAATCATAAATCAACTAGATGATGGTTATAAAAAGTGGAAAGAAAAAATATGTATACATAAATAAATATTTTACATGGTTTCAGGTACCTATTCCAACAGCAGCTCTATCCCAGCAATTTCAGCAAAATAGTTCGTTTTATTAAATTAGTGTTGTTGAGCGTTCAGAATTGATAAAAATATTCCGTATCTTCAGCTGTTACTGTATTCTATTATAGATTCTCCTATATTTACAAATTTTCGAAATCACTCGTCCTATATCGACTCCTTTAGTCACTATCAGCTATAACAATTAGAGTATTTTTAGAAGATCTTTCTTTGTTAAACTATTTACCTTAAAAATCTTAACAACATATATCGCTATTTGCTATACATATTATAGAAACCTAAGGCTTATCGAAAATATACCATATCTTGAAATTTTACATTGTGTTCAAAATAAGACGGATTTAATACTTTTTTTTTTTAAATTTGGACCAAGTTTCTGAAGTTGAACTTTTAGTAACCGCGTTTATTTTTATACTTCATATACCTATTTTTATTCTGTCGTCTATGTAGGGAGAATAGCGTCACACTGTTGTAAGTTAAAAATTGTTGAGTTGTCAGAATTTTGCTAAATGTATAAATACGGTGTGACACCCCCCGTGTGACGCCAGCTTTATAGTTGACCTTTGATACCCTTTATGGATTTGTTTGTTATGCTTACAATATTTTTATAAACACTTTTTAGATGTTGAATAGGTACATAGGTTGTTTGTAAAGTAAAGCTGGTCCATTCCAAGAGTAGGCATTTTTTTAATTATATATTTACAAAACATTATTTTTGCTAAATTTAAACTTTATGTTGTTATTTTTTTTAACTACAGTCTAATCATTGTCACTTATCGTATAGCTGTAGTGTTAGTTACTTGTCTATGCTAACCACTATAAAAACATAAAAATTTATTCGTTCTAGTCATACACTAAATAATATTGTTACCCGGTAATTGTATCTTTTTGTGTGTAAAAATATATGTATAGCTTGTACTATGTAGTTAATTATGTAATATATAGCACATTTCATGGTTCGATCATCATTATTTAACTTACCTACATTTTCATGGAAGAATAAACTCAGCTATATTATATTAGAATCATATTATGTTAAATATATTTTTAATAAAATATTTAGAACTACCTATTCAATACAATTACCTCGATGTTCTATTTCCATAAGAAATTGCAGTTTAAATGCAAAAAAATAATCTTTTCAAATGTAATGTTATTTATTTATATATGAATTATATTGAATTGAGTCAAAAGTACCAAATTAGTCAGCTAAGTATGTCACATATATTTTTAAGAATTTTTTAGACTTACCAAGGAAAATGAACGCAATCCTTTGGCGTAATTTTGCCTGTATAATAGATTCAGCGGATAAGTCCAAAAATATTGTGACATATAAGAATTTTATGTTATAGTCCTATTGATGCACTATGATATTGTTGATTCTTATTATAGAAGTGTTTTATCGAATTTTAGTAAAAAACATAAAGTGGGTATAGATATAGATTAAAATAAATCATTTGCCTCTCTTTTTGATATGATAAGGTTATTTGCACGTTCCAAAATATTTATCGATTTATTTTATTGAGTTCATTATGCTCTTCAGATATCTTACAATGTATTTATTAACACGAAAATAATTAATAATATTACTAATTCAATAATTTAGCTATAAGTTTGTAAAGTTCAAAACTACTTATGCATATATTTTGTAAAGTCCTTAACATTCAAAAATAGAGGCCTAAATTCACTGTAAGGTAAAAACTAATACACCATATGTCTTTAACTAGACGTATATGATAGCGTAATAATGTAAAGGGGAAAAGTATTGATTGATTCATTATAAAAAATATTTTAATATTATCTCGTAGTACAAAATAATAATAATATACATCTTAAACAATATAGTATGAAAAAATTATTTACTTCATAATGAGTGTTAAAGATTTGTCTATAAGACAAATGCTGATAAAATTGATGATGCGTTAACTTTGACTAGAGTTGATGAGTCGCATATCAAACTAATAGAAAATATATTTTTTACAATAATTTTTGCCTTTGATTAGCATTTCATTTGTCTTATTTTTTATTAAAAAATAGTAAATTAGTGTCATAAACACACCTATCTTTTCAATAAAATAAGTGCCAGCCAGCACGACAAATATTTAACTCTCATCGTACCGGATATTGCTAACAATTACTTACTACCTATTACATATTATACTTTAAAACAGCAAATTTTAAATTGTAAAAGAATTGTCAATACTTTTTATCTTTATTATTACTAAATTTAAATATTATATTATGCTTATTGTTAAGATCTCACTATTATTACACTCATTATTTTATATTTATTAGATTGCATTTTTTAAAACGATTAGATTATGTTTTCATATATTAAACGCTGTTTTATTATCTATATATTTATATGATATATAACATAGGTTGTTAAAAATTATCATTATATTTTGCCTTTGTTTTAAAGTCATTGTAAAAAAGGCAATGTAAAAATTGGTAAAAGTTATAGATAGCCAAGTTTTATTATGTTAATTTTATTATTAACTGTAAGAAAATTGTGTTTAATTTTTAGTAATACTTATGATTAGATAGAATATTTACTTCGTTCAAAATTGAAAGTGTATTCAAATGGCGTATCCACAAGTTGCGATGTTTATAGTACCTACTTTAAATTGTCATTGATATATTCGATTAAATAAATATTGGATATATAATGTGTGTTTAGATTTTATAGAGTATAGGTGTTGTATTTGAACGTTCTACTTACCTATTGTACAATATAAAGGAAAACTTACACAGTCAGATTTTAAAAATAAACCTTAGTGATGGTAAAACTTTCAAATATAACTAATTCTATGTTACAAATCAACAACATAATCAGGTGTAATCTCATTGTAAGAGCTATAGAACTAATATTGTAATTCTATATGTACCGATAGTATTAATTATTGTAATTATTGCTTCAATAAATAAAAGCAACTTTAAACAAACAGATAATCGCTATTTTTAGTGCCCATAAATCATACCTTTTATAAAATCCTTAAATAATCCGCCTACTACATATATTATAATAATTTAGGTAGTTGTAGCCCAGTGGTAACGCCCTTGCTTGAGGAACTTAGTGAAGTGATCACTAAAAGTTTTTATTTTTACCGCACTAAAAGTTAAAAATTATATATATAAACATTTAACAGTTTAGTGTGTTAAAATCTCTCATTTTCATGGAAAAGTTCAAATTTAAGTTCGAGCGCAAATCTATCTACATATTGCGAATGGCATCTCAGGGGTGTCATAAACTTCTTTCCTGTACTGGTTTGTGACGCCCAACCCGAGCGGTGCCATAATTCAATCCGTCGGAATATGTTAAAATGACATTTTCAAAAGTTTCCGCTAAATAAAAATAGCATTATTTTATCACGTAGATCATGCCTGGAATGTACGTTTCAAGATATAGTGTGAATAGAAAAACTACAGGGGTTAAAAACCATTATAATTGTTGCGGATAAATCTTTTTTACGTGTGGTGTATGTATGAAACCCGAGCGGTGTCATCCAGTATATATCTATACTCTTTGGGTGTCATCATAATTCAATCCGCTAAAACTCTATTAATTGTAGAATAACTTATGGAACTAAACTCTGTGTTTTTTACCCGACTGCGGCAAAACCGAGAAACAATAGAAAAAGAAAGCTATGATTTTGATGGCTAGCTATACCTACTGTGCTATACTATAGCTATACTGCCGTATATTCTTCTTTGTGGCGCGAATGTTCATGTGTAAATTAAAAAATTAAATGTCGAAAGCTATGTTTTAAGCTTCAAAATTTTTTTCTTCCTAACCCATCAAGTGTGGTATTAAAATGAAGGGGTTGCAAAGATCACTTGAAAAGTAGGTATATACAACAATTATATATAAAAGCAACTTGTAACGCTAATAAACTAAAATTACTCCTAGATTCATTAGAGTTTGTTGAAGACTTTTAAATTAAAAGCGAACGAACTAGACGGTTTGTAAATAGCAAAAAAAAATGTATTACATATAAATTGTCCAAAATATTTGCATCTATGCAGATCTAATTCTCTTTATATTCGATGCATGTCCCAATATCTTCTTCTTTCTTTTTATTAGGAACATATTTTTCGTACGATTGTAAGTTCTGTTAACCCAAGTGTATTCTTTATCAGACATTGTTTCGCATTGAGTTTCGTCGTCATCACTCTGCGATTCAGGGATTATAGTATGGGCATTCAATTCTATAAATTGTAACAATTAAAGCTATAAAAAATATAAAGTAATATATGAAAATATAATTTGCAATATCCGCATAATAGCACCCACACCATTTCATCTATACATATAATAAAATTGTAACTCTAATTGAAATAGACATTATTATCGATACAGAGTCTGAATCTATAGTTTTTAGAATTTTTGTCTGTCTGTCTGTCAGTCTGTTATCACATCACGAGAAAACCAATATCTATAAATAATATCCTCTGAACCTATTTTCTATTACCTATGTGACATATTGACATTCTCTTTTATTAATTTCAATTTTCTTGTTTAATGGCAATGAGAACATAATTCTTTAATGATTTCAAAGATTCTCTTAATTCTTAAATGATATCCAAACTTTTGGACTGTAAATAGTATTGTCAAAACCGGCTGATGTTGTCAAATGTCAATGTCAAAATAATGTAGTGTAGGTAGTAGAGTTTGAAGCATTATACTTTGGGATTTACCTTTTTAAATAATATTAACTTCATTATTAATTATTTATATTATAATATTGCTTTATTCAAAAAGAACCTACTTAACCCTGCTATTTAAATATTTTCAAAATAAGTAAGTTATATATAATATTTCACAATATTGACAAAATCAACTAAGTAGACCATATTAATGTAAACATTAATTTATTGGATATGTGCTTGCAGTTATTAAACAATTTCTTAAGTAAACGAAATCTTACAAAAGTCATATTTATAAATTTCTTAGGAACCTATAATGTTAGAATTACCAAGAATTACCAGAGCCCTCAGAGCACATACTCAACTAGATAAACCTCGATGCCTTAAACCATCAGCAGATATAAACAAATTATCAGTTATATTACCAAAAAATACCCAAAGGTAAGCAACATATATTTTTAGACATATTATGTATTATAAAATTATTATGTTATTTGCCTTGCCTTGGTTATGTATGATATCTTAATAAATGATAAAACTTTTTATTGCAGATACAAATCTTTTACTGATATATACAGTTACATTAAACACAATGAACCTTCGAATATCATCATTTTACTTGATCAACTTAAGGATGATTGCAAACTCTTAACTGGGGATGTAACAAATGACATAATTGAAGATGCTGCTGTGTTCACTTTAAGAATGTTTTTAGATCAAGAATTGGTAATGCTTAAACATTTGTCTCAGCTGAGGCAAATGTTTGGTACTGTTTTGTCATCTACCGCTAATAAAATATGTGAGGTAATACTTTAAACATTATATATAAATATTTCTATTTTGTATTTTGTATAAATGGCAATGTTCTAAAAAAATATTAATTTCAAAACTATTTCTGATTATTTTAATGTGTAATTAAAATATATTGAAATGTTTTAATTTATTTCATGGTAAAACAATGTGGTTTCTATAGTGCATGTCTATTTAATTATTAGTGATCGAAAAAATTAAATTATAAATGGTTACAGATTGTTATGCAAATATCAAATAGTATAACAGATGAAACAAAAGAATATATAAGGACAGAAAATAATGAAATTAAAGTGAAAAAACTATGGGGTGAAAATATACAATGTCATTACATTCCATACAAACCTGCAAAGAAACCTTTAGCAAAATTAACCAAAAAACCAGCCACAGCTAGTGCATTTGTCACAGATTTCTCAATGAAGTATAATAACAATACTGCTAGCAAGAATATAAATGTTGCAAGTGCACCAAAACCAGTATCTAAGGTACCTATAGTAATTAGTACATCTTATTTATTTAATATATTATAATATTTGTTTCTATATTTAATCTATTTTTGATGCAGAATTTTTTAGTATTATAACTTGTGTTACATGTAAAGGATATAAATATTTTGCTGTATTTATTTTAAATAACAAAATAATCATTACAGTTTGGCAAAGTATGGTTAGAAACTAAAGTGAAGGAACTATTTGAGAACTCAACTGGTATGTCAAGTGCAGATATCCTTCAATCTATGATAACATTGTTAAATTCACCACGAAGCAATGATGATATACAAAATGATTTGTTTGAGTTGTTGGGATTTGATAAATTTGAATTTATTGAAGAAATATTACAACATCGCCAGCAAATTACAGACAGTTTAAAACCTCCACCTTCACAGCCAACTATAGCTGAAAGTAAGTTAGATAAATTTTATATATTCTTTTATGATTTTTTAAATTAAAATAAAACAAAATCACTATTTAAAAAAATATACCTAAGTTTAAAATAGATGTTTTTTTTTTTCTAATTTTGTGACTATGAAATGACTTTTTCAACATTTTAATAAATTTAGTTTGTGAAAAGTCCATAGGAAGCTAACAAACTATAGTAGAGTTGATTGTGAAAAAATATTACTAGAATATAAGAAAGTTCATTCAAAATACTAAAATAATTAATATTATTTTTGTAGTTGCTGCACTTCTTCCAGAAAACAAAATGCCTCAATATTTATGCCAAGTGTCCGTTCAATCGGAACAAGAGAAAATGTTAGCCAAGCTAGTTAGGAAAGGAGAGAAGAAACAGAAACATGCGAAGAAATTTGAAGATGATGATGAGGAACAGGAAATTAATATCGCACAATTAAGAGCTAAACGGTAAGATATAAGAAAAACATAACAATAAATAATGGACAACAGGCTAGGATGTACGGCCACAGATCTGGAGGTCCTGGGTATGAGTTCAGGGCAGGGCCAAATTTGGCTACTGTCAAGAAATTCTTAGTAACAGCTCAGTGTTGGGAAGTTGGCAGTGCCTCACCCCCATGCCTATGAGAGCATGTAAAACTCATGCGTCTTAACACTCACCAGAGTGTAGAGAGTGCACTTCTTGGCATTATATTTAAATATTTTTTTACAGAATAGCAGAGTTATCAAAGCCAGTGGTACCATTTTCATCGACAAGGTCATCTAACAACACGGATCCTATATTACAAAAAATTTCATACTTCCAAACTAAAGTGCAATACCCTAATGTATATGATTCTTCTATAAATGCTAAGAACTCTGCAGGTAATAACATAACGTGTTTTTCACTATTACATAGTTACAATCTAATTGATTTCATTATTAGCAATAAAAAAAAATATAATAACTAGGAATACCCGCGGCTTCGCTCGCGCTTAAACTACAGAAAAACTCTAAAAACTCTAAACTCTAAGATTTCATACAAACTTTCATCTGCTATTTTACCCTCTTATGGGATGAATTTCGAAAAATGCTAAAACACGTATTTAATTAATTGTATTGAAGAGCATCAGTACTAAGTTTCAAGTAGTTCTGACCAAAAATATTTTTTTCGATTGTATTATGATATGTTTTCCCGTGGGAAAGAGATAATCTCCCGCGGTGAAAAGTATCCTATGTCACTCTCCAGCCCTCCAACTATCTCCACACAAAAAAATCATGCTAATCCGCCGAGCCATTTCAACGTAAAAGAAAGACAAACGAAACACACTTTCGTATTTATAATATTAGTATGGATATTAGTACAATCGATTATTATTCTGTGATATGGTAATTAGTATGTTGATTAACTGAAACAAAGACGTTTTTCGTAATATGACTATGAAACACAGGTGTTTATTTTTAAACATTTCACCTGATATGCTGTTTCATGATTGTTGTCCTAAAAAATTTTACTTCTATACTATACTATGAATAAAATAATACCTAAAATATAATAATAGTATATTCTTTTTAGGTTTTGTCTCTGGTCTAAAGTTAATATTACCAGAAAATGCTGTAAGAAAAGATAATAAGGAATATGAAGAAGTGTTAATACCTAAAAATGAATCAGCACCATTGGAGGTTGGGAACAAACGTGTACCTATTTCAGATATGGATGAGGTATTTATTAATAAAATTGTTGTTCTTATATATTTAGTAGACATACCTATTTCTTCCTTATATAAAGTACTGTATAAAAATTAAAACTTGTAAAACTATGATAAATATAGCAAAATGCGAAAACAAAACTTTCATGCAATATTTTTTTTGTAACTAAGATAGATAAGTTATAGAATATAAAACGTACGTCTTAACGATTATTATGGAATAGATAGACTAAATATTATATACATATATAGGTATGGTGAGTTGTTGTGGGTTGTATTATAACGTGTTTTCCCGTGGGAATGATATAATCTCCCGCGGTAAAAAGTAGCCTATGTCACTTTCCAGCCCTCCAACTATCTATGACACTAAAAATCACGCAATTCCATCACTCTGTTACGTCGTGAAAGAAGGTCAGACAAACAAACAAACACACTTTAACGTTTATAATGTTAGTATGGATGTTACCTATGAATATATAGAACAAACTTATTACCAAATGTAGTAACTAATGAGTAATTTTCCTTTCTTCTTCTTAAAAAAACATGTGTGTGTACTTATGTACACACGTAAGTTATACTTCTTTGGCGTAACAGAACAAAAATAGCTAAATATTTCGTCCCGTATGTCACAACTCTCTGTTTGTAAAAGGAATGCAGCTAACTTCATCATGTCGCTTTCAGCTAACTTCATCATGTCGATTTTTGGCTGTCGGTGTGCGCGCGCATCGTAAAAATTTTACTCTCATAATTTTTTCCAAATGTGCCAAAAGAAGTATAACTTCAATTGTTTTTTAATGTTATGCTAATCTAAATTATTCAAATCTATATAAAAGCAAAGTGTAATATCTGATCGGATGTGAAGTCATGAAGACTAAAATTAGAATGCTTTTAAAGGACAATAACGGCACATTATCGTAATTTCAGATCGGTCAAATGGCGTTTGAAAATATAAAAGAATTAAATCGAATACAGTCAGTAGTGTTCCAAACGGCGTACAATACTAATGAGAATCTCCTGATCTGCGCGCCCACAGGGGCCGGTAAGACCAATATCGCCTTGCTAACTGTGGTGCATCAGATAAAGCAGCATATAGAAAACGATGTTATTATGAAGAATAAGTTTAAAGTAAGTAATTTTTAATTTTAATTAGAATCTCTTTAAATTATTTATAACGCGTAAGTGCTTCTTGGCCTGAACTTTTTTTTTAATGTGACCTTAAGCTGAAAATTTTTATTTATTTATTTATACTAATTATACATTTTTACTGAATATATAATGTATAAAATTTCAACTTCGATATTGATTATCCCTTGGAACCATGGAATTATTCGTGTTATTTATAAATGGTACCCAACGTGGGGTTTGGCAAACATAAAAGAATAATAAAAAAAAGTGCGTGTGTATGCAATTCACACATGGTAGAAGTGAAACTTCAGAAAAGTAACCTACGTGAGAATAAAATGAATGTAGAGTGTCAGGAGTAGGATAATTATAAGGTTAATTTTTTTATAATATTTTTACCAAGTTTAAGAGTTATTTAATATTTTACATATTTTATTATTTTTCATTTCCTGTGTAATTTATTCTATCTCAAATAATTAAATAAGGCATATTAGGCATATTACAATCATATATTTATAGAATATAATAATATATATTTGTCAGACAATAACAACGGTTACCATGGCACCATGGCAATGTATTCTCATTCTCTTATGTATTTGTCTCTTTTTAGTGCTGCATTTCGAGTTGCGACTTTATTTATTTTTACTTTGAATTAAATATTCTAATAAACTCGAAATTCTTAACCTTATATTTATCTAACTCTATCTACGCAATATTTTAGGCCTAATATATAAACAAATCAGATTTTTCTTTTTGATTTTTTTTCACTACAGATAATCTATATAGCGCCAATGAAGGCTCTGGCTTCAGAAATGACGGCAAGTTTTGGAAAACGTCTCAAAGGTCTCGGTATAACAGTTAAAGAGTTGACAGGAGATATGAAGTTAACTAAAACTGAAGTGCAACAAACTCAAATGATTGTTACTACGCCAGAAAAATGGGATGTGGTTACTAGGAAAGGGGCAAGTATGTAATACTTTTATACATGTATTCAGCCCTTTTTTTACGTCCCACTGCTGGGCACGGCCGATTTAAGTAATCGTGAGTCTCTCCCGTTACCATGATTTCCCTAAAGCATTCGAAACGTCGGGAACCAAAAATCTAAATGAATCCGTTAAATAATCCGAAAAGATAGTTTTATTTAAAACTAGCAGAACCCGCGGCTTCACTCCCGCTAAAACTACAAAAAATCTATAAAAAGGTACCTAGGTTTCATCCAACTTTCATCCCCTATTTTACCCCCTTATAGTATGAATTTCGAAAAAAGCTACAACACGTATTTATTTATATTGAAGAGCAATATTAATACCAAGTTTCAAGTAATTCTGATCAGAAATAAATTTTTAGATTGTATTATAACGTGTTTTCCCGTGGGAATGATGTGATCTCCCGCGATAAAAAGTACTTATGTCACTCTCCAGCTCTCTAACTATCTTCACACCAAAATTCACGCCAATCTGTTACTCCGTTTCGACGTGAAAGAAAGAAACAAACACACTTTTACATTTATAATATTTGTATGAATAGTATAGATGTCGCTAGTAATAATTTTCGTCCACAGCCGACACAGAGCTAGCCTCAATAGTCAAACTACTAATCATAGATGAAGTGCATCTCCTGCACGGCGACAGGGGACCCATAGTCGAGGCGATAGTAGCCAGAACACTGCGCCAAGTGGAGTCCACTCAGAACATGATACGTATAGTTGGCTTATCTGCTACTCTACCTAATTATCTTGATGTTGCCAGGTGAGAATTGGTTTTATTAGTTTTTCCTTTGAAGGTAGACTGTAAGTTAGTTAGGAATTAAATATACATATATATAAGCTGATTTTTCAGACATTAAATTATAACCGGACTAAATGTAGAAGTAAAATAATTAAATAATCATATTCTACAACTGTTTTGTATTTCATCCTTTTAATTAATAAAAAAGTTATAAAAGTTTATATAACTCCCAACCTCATAATTAATATATTGTATAATCTTTTACTACGTTTTTTCTAGATTTCTCCGAGTGAATCCAAACATTGGTCTATTTTTCTTCGACTCCCGTTTCCGCCCCGTGCCGCTAGAACAACAATTTATTGGAGTCAAGGAAGTAGGAAGTGGCGGCGGTGCACATTTGAGACAGGTATTTGATATTCACATTTATTAAGATATTTATCTATATACATATAATAAAATTCTGAGTCGAATCTGTTCATTAAATATTTTTTTGAAAATCTTATTGAAATAGTCATTATTATCGATACAGAGGCCGAATCTATAGTTTTTATAATGTTTGTCTGACTGTCTATCAATTTTGATGAAATTTGGTTTGATGATAGCTTTTTATCCGGGTCAACATATAGGATACTTTTTACTGGAAAATCTATGCTAAATGTTAAAACGTAACTTGAGAGTCGCTAGTGGTAATATATACATTTTCAATTTTCGACATCAATACTGTTCAAAAAAATCCTGATAATATGTGGTCATACAATTCAACTAATTATTATAGTTATTTTGTAATAATATTTTATAAAGGACACTTGGACATCATTTAGTTTTATTAGAGCTATTACAATATCCCAACTTATATTTTTATGATTTAAAACACATACTGTATAGTGTAAAAGTTTTTTTTTTAAATTAAGTAAATTCTAACTTAATTTTGTAATACAGATGCAAATAATGAACGAAGTATGCTATGATAAAGCATCGGATATGGTGCAAAAAGGCCATCAGGTCATGGTATTTGTACACGCGCGTAATGCCACGCACCAGACCGCCATGATTCTGAAGGAATTAGCTCAGAAAAAGGGACATTTAAAGTATTTCGAATCGGAAGACTCGGCTGGGTTCTTAAAAGCAAAGAAATCTATAGGCAGTAGCCCGAATAAGATCTTAAGTGAGCTTTTTTCGTTTGGTTTTGCGTGTCACCATGCTGGTATGTTGAGAAGTGATAGGTAAGAATATTTAATTATTGAAGTGAAAACTTCTTTACGCATGTAAGTCGTCATCGACATGGTCACGTGACGTGTTAACGCTAACACTCAGAGTGCCGATAGATGTCAATACCTGATAAATGTAAACAGTTTTAATTTAAGATCAAACAATGAATTTGAATATCCAAAAACAACAACGGTTTTTTTATTAGTTTTAAGTTTTCACTTCTATCGGCAGTCCTCATGGCTGCTTTTTTCTTTAAATTTTAATCTCACTACTATTATAAATGAGAAACTTTGTATGTGTGTAGGTTTGTCACTCCTTTAGTTTGAAACGACTGGACGGACTTAGACGAAATTTAGTACATTGTTAGATACATTTAAACCTGGAGTGACACATAGGCTGTAATAGTAAAGTTTATATAGAAAAAACAACACATAGGCTACTTTTTATCCCGGAAAAATGTACGGTTCCCGTCGGATAGGTTTGTTTTTGTTTTCCTAGAGGCGAACCCGAGCGAAGCGAGTGTGACCCGCTAGTATATAATATATAATAATATATCAAAAAATATAGTTAGGTAATTTCTTAAAAATTTAGCCACAAACATTTGAAATTTGTCATTTATTTTATATCTATTTATTTTATTTCAAGGAACATGGTTGAGAAATATTTCGCTGAAGGCTACATCAAAGTGCTTGTATGTACATCCACATTGGCTTGGGGAGTGAACTTGCCGGCGCACGCTGTTGTTATACGGGTACTTTATTTCTACTACATACTAGCTTTTCCCGCGTGTTTTCTTTGACACTTTTCTCAATATATACATATAATGCTCAAATAAATTATTAACTCAGACAAATAGTTTTAGATAATCGCGTTCATAAAAAAAATTACAGTCTCTTCAACTTCGTAATATCAGTATACATATTCAGACTAAGGAATAATACAAACAGAGTATCATAGAACTTAACCATGAAGCCAAATAATAATGTTTTTAAATAGTATAGAAATGACAATCTGTATGCTATATACGCTACAATAAATGAAACTTGGTTTCATTTGTTGTAGCTTAAATCGTCCCAGATTTTATCGCTTGTCTATTTTCGAATTAAATCATCCACACCTCCTAGTAGAATTTTAAACGAAAATAATAATTTTTATTAACCAAAAGATCACATATATACATTATTTAAAAAAATACAAGTCAAATGTTTAAAAATATATGAAAATAGATAATAAAAATAATTATTATGTTTTTTCCTTCCAGGGCACAGAAATATACGACCAAAGTCACGGTACATTCGTAGATCTAAGTATACTAGATGTTCTACAAATTTTCGGCAGAGCGGGACGACCTCAGTTCGACACGTCTGGTACGGGAATCATAATAACTACACATGATAAATTGACGCATTACCTGAAGTCTATGACAAACCAGTTCCCTATTGAAAGTAATTTTATTAATCTGTTGGCGGATAATTTGAATGCTGAGGTGAGTTTTTAGTGTTATTATAGATACAGGTGAGCCAGTGTATTTTAGGCCCTAAAGATTAGGAGATAGACATATGCTATTGCAGACTTTTCTGTAGGCCTTTTTAAGACCTACAATTTTCTAGGACATTGTTTGGATGTATCTCTTAAGATTTATCTAGTGTTATTTATGGACATTTCTAAAGACGACTCGATAGAATCGGTTATTGTGTTTTCTCGTAGCAATGAAAGGTTTTCCTATAGTAAAAGTTGTTATAAATGTTGGCTTAGGTAATAAGTTAGCACTACAATTTATTTCAAAATCGATTCAGTACTATTTACGTGTACAATTTCAATAACATATGTCATGGGATCTACATTCTCTACACAATACGTAACAGCCAATCGTCAGTATAGCTGCAATACGGATTTAATAAACAAATATGTATCAATTTAACTATAATTAAACTACTTTTCCTTTATATGTGATGAGATTTTATAGTTTTAATGAACTAATCTAGACTTAGATATAGTATAACTGTCGGTGAATTTTATCTGTTACAGGTTGCTTTAGGAACAGTGACCAACATAGACGAGGCAGTGGAATGGCTAAGTTATACATATCTTTTTGTACGAATGAGGATAAATCCACAGGTATCGCATAATACAATTTTTGACGCCATTATATTAAAAATTGCAAAACTTAAAATTCCTACTAATGCTCACTTTATTCAATAAAATTAATTTAATTTTAATTCTCAAAAAGATGAACATATATTGATACAACATGCGAACATCATATCTCAATAAAACAATACTGTATAGTTGTTTTGTTTTTAGGGTAGGGCCGGTTGTGTCTCATGAATCGTAATGCAAATAAAACAAGAATCGATTAGTACATGAATGACTGTGATATATTTAGTACGATGTTACGGAACTATTCGCGTGCGATTCCAACTCGCACTTAACCGTTTTTTATTTTACTTTTTATTTTTAGGTATACGGTCTTACATACAGCGATGTGCAAGAAGAGCCGATGTTAGAGACGAAGAGAAGAGAGTTAATAACGAATGCGGCGATGCAGCTCGACCGCACGCACATGCTGCGCTACAATGAACGCACTGGAGACCTCAATATTACCGGTATTCATAATACTTACACCAATATTTGACATTTTAAATAAAACTATCGTTTCGGATCATTTTGCGGCTTTATTTAGATATTTGGCATTCGCAAAGTCGCGTCGGGAACCAAAAATCAAAATAAATCCGCAAAAAAATCCGAAACGATAGTTTTATTTAAAATTACTGGTATTATTTGTTTAACATTTATCTGACATCTACATGACATGTAGTAGTACGAAAAGGTATTTATAAACATATAATTATTGAAAACTATGTTAATATTTCTAAGTCAAAGAGGATATTAATGCAATATTGTATCGGCTATCCCCAAAGTTATCTAAACTGAATACCTGTCTAGTAAAATCATGTACGTGTGTACTATGTATGTTATAATCATCGATCAAAAAGTACTAGATACACAATCAATGACAAAAATGTCCTCACCGAATGAGCGCTCAATAGAACATTTGAGCGCGCTTTTAATTTTTTTTTTTGTGAAAAGAACTTTAAATATTGCATTTAAGCTTCAATTTACATTGTTGTACATTTATTTCAACTGAATAATTACCTAAAGACAATTTATGACAGTTTTAAGAGAACTTGTGCATGCGGTGTATCTATTACTTTTTTGATCGACGGTGATAATACTAACGAGTTACTATAAAGAGCCTTACAGTTAAAATAACACCTATAAAATAAACTTTTGAATTGAATTAAAAAAAATATTCCATATTAAAATAAAACCTTTAATATGTGAAATAATATTTATAAATGCGTTTGTAATAATACATCAAAATATTTTTTCCCTATAGACCTCGGACGAACAGCAAGCCATTATTACATCACCTGTGAAACTATGGAAGTGTTCAACTCTATGGTCCGAAAGTCTATGACACAGGGATATGTACTTGAAATGCTAACTAGATGCTCTGACTTCCAACAACTTAAGGTAAGATTTGACGCCTAGTATTTAATAACAGACTGACTAAAATTACACGGGATTTATGAGATATGTATATCGAGATACAAAAACCTTATGTCATTACTCGATCTATAAATTATATATCAAAACGTAACATAGCTTAAGAGGTGCGTAAGAGAAAGAGAAAGCAGCATTGTGATATTTATATTACTAGCATTTTGTATTGGTTTTTGTTAGCCTTCCTATCCTACATTATATTCCATAGCCTTGATATTGATTTCCTTGCTACCGATTTCGGCCATGGCGGCCAATCTTACTGAGACTAGCACACTGTGCAGGAGATATTATAGAACACAAGTGTACGCACTGTTATACGGAGCTTTGAAAATCAGTTTTGAAAAAAGTAAAACTTATTTACACACAATTGTTTATTTAAGTTAAACATTTGGAATGGAATTAAGATATAGAATTACACTTGAAATAGAATAGATGTAGGATTTAGAAGATGTGTTTGAGACGAATATCAAAATGGAACTAACTGGACTATGCTATAGAGATATTACATTGAATCGTAAGGGGGTTTTGTCAACAGTCTCAACTAAGCATTCCTTCATACAATGAGCAACATATAACAGCACGCACGCAGACATAAGTGCACTCTCTATTCCTTTTCCTCTTAAACTCCGATGGGACGATACTTCGATACTCGCGGTGAGAGTTAAGACGCGGGACCGACGCGATACGCGCTCTTCGAGGCACGGAGATGAAACACCGCCAAAATCCCAACTTTGGCCTGAACCGCAACTCGAACCCAGTATCTTCGAATCTGCGGCCGTATTTGCTAGCAGTTAGACTACCAAGACAGTCCATAACCTTACCTCGCTTATATATGTACAATTGTAATCCACATTTTATATAGTTCTCTATACTACAATGAGCTCATGCTACGTGCTCTATTTTAAAAAGAAGAAAAAGGTTATTACTTACTTAGGCGTTCCCTTACTATATTTAATCAATTTTCCATTTTTATTTTTAATAATATTTTATATACACAATGAGAGCAATATCATATATATGTATATTTTTAATTTACTATAATACTCATCACCTTTATTCAAAACTCCCAGGTACGTAAAGAAGAATTAACAGAGCTATGGAACCTGAAGGATCAGTACTGCGAACTAAGGATAGAAGACCCCCCAGAAGACATACATTGGAAGACAAACATCTTGTTACAAACTTATCTATCTCGGGGAAGGGTTAATGGATCTTCTCTGCAGTCAGATTTAAATTATATTAGTCAGGTAAGTCTTAATTCTAACAAAGCTTATTAGCTTTACTTGTAGATATTTAATCAAATCTTGGAAATCGATTTTACCCAACTTCTTTGTGGTATCGATTTGAAACTTAGTCTGAGGAATTCTGTAATTTAATATCATGAAGCTGATCTACTGATCGAGATATTAGGTGAATAGTGAAAACTTTTAGTAAATACTAGCAAAACCTCAACATTTGGCATCTTAAAGAGATTTTTCAAAATTTGTCTATTGCCATTTAATAACAAAAAAAGTCCTATAACAGATGTTGTTTCCACGCTACTGAATAGAGCAAAAGTGGATTGTATATTTGTTTATTTATATTATTTGTTTATATTACAAATTACAGAACGCAGTAAGAATAGTTCGGGCATTATTCGAAATAACGTTACGAAAGAACAACGCGTATATGGCAGGCTTGTACTTGAAGATGGCTAAAATGATGGAGCTACAACTATGGGACTTTTACAGTGATATGAGGCAGTTCAATTGTTTCCCCAACGAAATATTAAAACATATAGAGTATCCTATGTTAAAGCCTGACCAATTGAGGGATATGGATTGGAAGGAGTTAGGTAGGAATAAGCTATTTTAAGCCCTTTTTGACGTCCCACTGGGGCACGGCCCCCATCAATACGAAAGGGATCAGGCCATCGTCCACCATATTGATATTTTGGCCAGTTTGGTAGTATGTTGAGAAAAACACGTTTATTGTCTTCTACGTTTAGACACACATATTCTTTTATTTTGAAGTTATCTGCTATAATACTTTCTTAGATTTACGCGAATATTTAACATTTTAAACTATGTTTTCGTTTTTTTTTTCGGATTTATTTTGATTTTTCATCACCGACGACGTTTTGAATGCTTTACAGCAATCATGGTCACGAGAAAGTCGCTCCACTAGTTTCTCCTGTCGGAACCCGAAAATCGAAATAAATCCATGAAAAATCCGAAAGTAGTTTTATTAATCTGCTATATATTATGATTTCGTTACCGTAGATTCGACAAATTCTGTGTCTTTTTCAAGTAGTCTTTACTGAAAAGTAACAGTAGCACTTTATTTAAAAATAGTATTAATTAAAGAAACTTTTATTCCAGGTGATCTTATCCGCAATCCAAAAACAGCACGACAGTTAAAGAAATGCGCAGACGAATTTCCTCTATTAGAAATGGAAGCCAGTCTGCATCCTATCACTAGAACAGTGTTACGAATACGTCTGACAATCACACCTAATTTCAAGTAAGTTCAATTAAATTAATGATAATATAAAATTTTAAGTAGGCAACGGTAGCCCAGTGGTATCGCGCCAGTTTGGGAAATCGAGTCGAGTGGAGCGGGTTCGAATCTCGTACCTCTAATATTCCCATGTGCTAATCATTCCCGACATGATTACCGCTTGTCTAACAATGAAGGAAAACATCTTGAGGGAAGCTGCATGTCTGAGAGAACCTGGCAAGTTTCCAAAAGACATGTGAAGTCTGCCAACCCGCACTTGGCCAGTGTGGTGGACTATGGCCTGATATCCATGGTCGTATCCAACATTGGGAAGTTAATTAAAAAGGGTTGAATTCTAAATCTTCTATTGATCATATTTTTGATTCTTGTCTAGTCCAATATTTTGTGCGTTAGAATATTCATAAATGGTTGTGTTAAGTGTATGTACGTATGTATGTATTTATATAAGTTTATTGCGATCCATCTTGTGAAAAAATCTATTTTTAATGATTTATATATGAATTTACAATCGATTTTTCCTACTAAATATTTTATCGATTTGAAAAGCTATGATATCCGTGACAATGCAATGATTTGATCCAACGAGCTTATCCCACGGAGCCACGACGATGGAACTCTTGGATGGCTATAAGTAAATACTTTCAATTAGACATACCTATTTGATATGTTGAAGCGTGTTTAGGTTTACAAAACTTTAGTACTATCCAAATGGCACGCAGAATAAACATAATATAGAGTTTAAATTGACGATTGAAATACCGAAACGATGTTAGCGGGCTTTTAGCTAATACAAAGTATATCAATTATTACATTTTTCAGATGGAACGACAAATACCATGGCAAAGCACCTGAAGCATTCTGGATTTGGGTTGAAGACCCTGAATCAGATATTATGTACTACCATGAATATTTCCTCATCACAAAGAAACAGGTAGAATTAAACTACACTTGCATTTTTATTATTATTATTTTTATTTATATAAATGAAAACTAACTTATGGAAAAAACACACCAAAAATATCGTTACATGGAAATGATCTTAATTTCTAAAAGTTTTGCAATTCTATGTTATGAAATGTAATGAAATTAAACTTTATTCAATTAGATTTATTTGATCCACTTTGAATCGTATTGTAGGTCGTAACAAAGGAACCGCAAGAACTGATTATAACAATACCAATCTCAGAACCGTTACCGCCACAGTATTATATCAGAGCTACATCTGAAAGGTAATTGGAATTTTTTTAATACTCAACTTACAATAAAAGATTATTAGTTTTGTATTGGTAGAAAAACTACGAATATGTATCTATGGTATCATAAACGTATGTACTAAAAAAAAAAATTGGTGCTTTTAAACATGGTTATCCTAAAGCTGCATAGCGAATATAGTATGAAAAATGAAAATTGACACGATGATTGATGACGAAATTGATGATAAATAATGTAATATTTCTTTTTATAATTTTAAAATGCAAAATTTTAAAGTAGTTAAACAACTCATGCAAAAAAAGATCTTCCGGTTCACACTTCACCATATTTATATTATTATCTAAATTGTCTCATTTCTAGGTGGTTGGGTTCAGAAAGTGTTCTTCCGCTGACATTCCAACATCTTATTTTGCCAGAAACACATCCTCCCCACACAGGTATTTTATTTTTATTTTTTTAATACTTTTATTTAGGCTTGGCCCATAGAAAACAGCTATAAAATAAACTATAAAGCTTATTATAACACTTACATTTTGTTTTATTTTGCTAGCTTTGAAATTAACTAAGATATATTATTTGAAAAAAGTCGCCCCCGGACACTTTTTTTCAAATAGCTCCTCATTTAACTAAGATATAGAGCTAATATTTACTATATCAATTACTATTAGTGTCCTCTAAAATATAACATTGGTTACGATATAGGTTCCTATCGGGGGCACTTTCGCCATAGAAGTACGGCTAGACCCTTTTAGGGACATTCGTTTCATTTGATATTAAGATAATGTATGCAAATTTAAAAACATTGCTTATTCTTTATTCCAATAAATTGGAGTCCGTTTAAGAAACCTGATAAACAAAGATTCTTAAAAGATATTATTTTATCTTTTTTTAAATTGAATTAAAAAACACTATTAAAATCTATATACAAGCATTTGTCCTCGGCTCTGTCCGAATAATTTGAAAATAACAAATTCAATACAAACTTTCAACAATTTTTTGGCTCTTTACAGGCTTAAAAATTGTTAACAGATTTTGATGACATTATTGAGAAAAAGTTTGTAGCTAATATTTTATCTAAAGATAAAGACACTTAGCAGTACATAATGCCTTGATTTACAAATCGATTTATATTCAATTTATTAAAAATACTAGAGACTCTTCCTCGCTTTGCTCGGGTCCCTAGGTTGATTCTCGATACAAACTTTCATCCCCATTTTCACCTCGTTAAGGGATGATTTCCGGGATCAAAAGTACCCTATATCCTTCCCGGCTCTCAAACTATCTTCTTACTAAATTTCATCTAAAAAAACTTTACCTCTTTATAAGTATAGATTGGCACATCGTTTCTCATTGGCAGATCTTCTAGAACTCCAACCGTTACCAGTGACATCCCTGAACAACCCCGCGTACGAGATGCTGTACCAGTTCAGCCACTTCAACCCTATACAGACTCAGATCTTCCACTGCCTGTACCACAGCGACCGCAACGTGCTGCTGGGCGCGCCCACCGGCTCCGGGAAGACTATCGTCGCTGAGATAGCCATGTTTAGGGTCTTCAATCAGTACCCTGGCTGTAAGGTGGGTAGGATACAGCCCTTTGTGAGTCCCACTGTTGGGCACGGTCCTCCCTTCAATTCGAGGGGGATCAGGCCATAGTCCACCAGTGCGGGTTGACGGACTTCACATGTCTTTCGAAAACTTGCTAGGTTCTCTCAGACTGTACATTATATGATGTATGATGATGTAAATTACATTGTAAACCTATTATTAGAAATCAAACCACCTTATTAGTGGAAATATTGTACTCTTTATTTGGCTTACTTTTTAACTTTTTTAACTGCTATGTATTTATCCCTTATATTTTTTATTAACATAATAGTATTTGGTGTAAAAGGTGGTGTACATCGCACCATTGAAAGCGCTAGTAAAGGAGCGTATCAAAGATTGGAAAATCCGTCTTGAAGAGAAACTGGGCAAGAAAGTTGTAGAATTGACAGGTATGTCATATTACATTTTATTTAACCTAATTTAATCTGTGTACAAAGCTTAAAAAATCAAAGATGAATGTATCACGTAATTTTTTCTATCTACCTACGCCATTGTTTTTATATAAACCATGATTTTTAGGTGACGTATCTCCCGACATTCGAGCTATACGTAGCTCTCACGTCATAGTGACGACCCCTGAGAAATGGGACGGCATCAGTCGCTCGTGGCAGACCAGGAACTATGTGCGGGATGTCGCTTTGATCGTCATAGATGAAATACATTTGTTGGGAGAGGATAGAGGACCTGTGTTGGAAGTTATTGTTTCTAGGTGAGGGTTTTTTTCTGTTCATATATGCTTGTATTACTTCTGTCTTGTTGATCTTGTGGTTAGCTTGTACGGCTGCAGAACCGGAAGTCTTTAGTTCAAGGATTCGAACTAAAGACTTCCGGATTCCCGGAGTCGGGCCAAATTAAAGTTCTTAGGGTTTTTTTTTTGTTATGAAATTCTCAATAACAGCCAGGAGTTGGAGAATTGGCAGATTTCAATAATCTGGTTGATAAAGCATGTTAAGCCTTAGGTACTGTGTCTGTACTCTTTATCGTGTCAAATTGACGTCTTATCGGACTTTAAAAGTGCAAAGTATAGTGAGTGTATGTGTTTGCACATACACTTGTGCAATATATTATGTCTACACAGTTGGCTAGTCTCAGCAATATTGGCCGAAATCGAAAAACCAAACCATTTTCAAACTAAAGAAATAATATAATTGTAACAATTTCTATTTCATATATCTATCCAATTAATTTCACAGAACAAACTTCATAGAATCGCATACGTCACGTCGTTTGCGAATTATCGGCCTGTCCACCGCTCTGGCGAACGCGAAGGACCTCGCCAACTGGCTCAATATAGGCGAGATGGGGCTTTACAATTTTAGACCTTCAGTGCGACCTGTGCCTTTAGAGGTAATTATAGTAATCATAATAACTCTTTGTTCTACATCTAAAATAATATACTGGTGGTCAACTTGTCACCGCTGGAGAGAGTGTACCACAGCCTAGGTCTTGATGCAATCAAAGGCTTTTTCATAGTTCACAAACGTCAAGCAAAGGGGCAAGTTATACACATTGGTCAACATGGTTTCAACATCTAAATTTATAATAGGTACATACTTGAAGTATGTACTATAAATTTAGAATTTAAATGAGTTAAATAAAAGCTTGTGAATACTATTGCTGTATTCAATCCTTTTTAAGGTCCCACTGCTGGGTACGGGTCTCTCTTTGCTAGAAGAGGAATCGGGCCATAATCCACCACGCTAGCCAAGTGTGGGTTGGCGGAATTCACATGTCTTGAAAAAAAATTAGGTTCTCTCTGACATGCAGGTTTAAACACAATATTTTTCGTCACCGTAAGACAAGTGGTAATCATGATGGAAATGATTCGCACATGAAAATATCAGAGGTGCAAGACCGGGGAATTGAACCCCGCTTCACATGTTTTCCCAAACAAGTGTGTTACCACTGGGCTACCTTTTTACTGGGCAGAAAGTCTATGTCCAGCAGGACTATACCTGACAATGTGTCCCCCGAACAGGTGCACATCTCCGGGCACCCGGGCCGCCACTACTGCCCGCGCATGCTGTCCATGAACAAGCCCACGTTCCAGGCCATCCGTGCGCACTCGCCCGCCGCGCCCGCGCTCGTCTTCGTCTCCAGCAGGCGGCAGACCAGGTACTTGCATACATATATACATACATACATACATACATACACCTTAATACGTTTATTTAATTCTATCTTATGTATATCCACAATGTACATCCAGCTCGCTTCCTTCTCTCTAACTCAACTGTCTACACTCATACTCAAATCAACCATGACCGAACACACTATCCCTTTCACTCATTCTTCCTTTCATTCACACTTCACAGATAAGACATTAACTATTTATATTTATCATTCTTCCCCCATTACATACGTTTACATACATACATGTAAGCACGCATACATAATATTCATGGTACCCTAAAAAAGGACTCTTCTAATCGTCCATACTATTTTTTGTTTTTCTTCTAAACCGAACAGCTAAATCGATTCTAACAACACTCTTAGAGACTTTATGATAGTACGCCAGAGTTGAGATGCACATTTTTATTTATACATATAATAAAATTCTAACTGAGTCGAATCTGTACATCAAATATACTTTCGAAATTATTATTGATATAGTCATTATTATCGATACGGAAGCCGAATCTATAGTTTTTAGAATGTTTGTCTGTCCGTCTGGGAACGCATTATGAGAAAATCACTGGACAGATTTGATTTCGGATGAAATTTGGTATGATGATAGCTGGTTATCCGGATCAACATATAGGGTACTTTTTACTACGGGAAAATATCTCTATTCTGAGATTCTATACTAACCAAATATATAAATTATAATAATTTCCATAAAACAAAACTAATATTTTATTTTTTACAATAAAATGAATTTATTAATTAAGACTTATTTATTCAGGTTAACCGCATTAGACCTAATAGCGTATCTGGCTGCAGAAGACAATCCCAAGCAATGGCTGCACATGCAAGAGTCTGAAATGGAGCAAATCTTGTCGAACATTCGAGAATCTAATCTGAAGTTAACCTTGGCTTTTGGTATCGGAATACATCACGCGGGCTTACATGAGAAGGACCGGACTACTGTTGAAGAGCTTTTTATTAATCAGAAGATACAGGTATTATGTTATGTTTTTGTATAGTAAATAGGTGAGAATATTTGACATAAATGACTTAATATTTTAACATTATTTTTACTTAACTATTATTAATTATATAGAATTCAGACAGCTATTAAACAAGGTGGCTTTTCATATAAACTTGTAGTATTTTTCTAAGTAAACAAGCAGAAAGAAATTGTAGAAAAAAAAACATTTCTGTATAACTTTGTTTCACACAGTAAAGGGAGCAACGTGCAATTTACATTAACATAATTTGTGTACCGGAGAATGATCCACTATTTTTTTATTAAAATATATTCTTAACATACAAAATTTTACATATTACAAAGACGGGCTATAAAAATTATTGCAAAACTCGTAAAATTTAGCAAAACTGGGCTAATTACTAAACGTGATTTATATTAGTTACAGATTCTAATACCGTATTTAAAAAGACAAAAAAGTCTATAAAAGTTATTGTAAAACTGATGAAACTTAGTAAAACTGGGCTAGTTACTAAACATTTATCTAAATAACAGGTTCTAATTTGCACGGCAACACTCGCGTGGGGCGTGAACTTCCCCGCACATCTTGTGGTCATTAAAGGAACCGAATATTTCGATGGGAAACAGAAGAGATATGTCGACATGCCCATTACTGATGTGCTACAAATGATGGGCAGAGCCGGTAGGCCACAAGTGAGTGTATAATTATAATTTTCTTGCCCAAATACTTTCTTAGATTTACGCAAATATTTGACATTTCAAATAAAACTATTAAACTTCCGTGTTTATATTTCCGTATTAAATTCCCGTGACCATTATTACTGTAAACATCGCGTCGGGAAACAAAAATCAAAATAAATCCGCGTAAAAATCCAAAAAGATAGTTAAAAATTTTTTACCGATTTCGGCCATGACGGCCAATCTCACTGAGAATAGTCAGGAGATATTATAGTGCACAAGTACATAATTGTGTGCAAATTCAACGTACATTCTCTAATCCACTTTCTCTGAAACTCGGATGAGACGAGAATTGACACGACCAATAAGATATTAGGATACGCGACACATACATACTAACCATTGGAAAAACGAGGCAGGAAATTATAAATTATAATTAATTGAATCTTTTTAAAATTAAGCAATTTGACGACGCGTTTGGATCAGTTTGTAGTGACCCTACTTGCTACGCCAGCGGTCGCCGATTCGAGTCCCGCTGGGGGAATATTTATAATATGTATGTGTTTCAAGTTATATATCTATAATGTATCAACTATCTGGTATCCATAACGCAAGCCTCGTAGCTTACCATGGAACTAGATGGTGTTGTGTGTTAATGTCCTGACATATTTATTTAAAAAAAAACTTGATTGTACTCTGGACCTCAAAAGTGTCTAGGCCTTAAATTAATTGACACACTTAGTACGTAACAATCAAATTATTGATATGAATTGTTTCCTTAACCTTTCCAGTATGATAACGAGGGTGTTGCTGTTGTATTGGTTCACGATCAGAAGAAGAACTTCTATAAAAAGTTCCTCTACGAGCCTTTCCCGGTGGAGTCCAGCTTGCTAGCCGTGTTAGCTGATCATTTGAATGCTGAAATTGTGGCTGGTAATTAGATTTAACTCAATTTTTGTTATAAGCTAACATCCCATGGGAACCACTTCAAGTTCTGGTATGAAAAGAGCTTGTAAAATTGAAACCAATAAAATCATTTCTTCAGTAGTGCTATTTCAGTAATACACTTAAACAAAACAGCAACAGAAAATTTTATTCAAAGCAAAGTCGTGGGCAATAACTAGTTTTAAGTAAAAATACATTTATGCTGCTCATTTTAACGTCCCACTACTAAGCACGAGTCTTGCTAGATTCCCTCAGATATGCAGGTTTCATAACGATGTTTTCCTTCACCTTAAGACAAGTGGTAATCATGCTGGGAATGATTCGCACATGAAAATATCAGAGGTGCGAAACTTGGGATTTGAACCCATATCACTCGGTTTCCCAAGCCATCGCGTTACCACTGGACTAACTAACAAAAAAAACATACATAGAATTTATTATATTTATTATTTTCCCACCTGTCTAAATAAAGCAATATCTAATCTGTCCAGGAACGGTACAGACTAAACAAGACATCCTAGATTATCTAACATGGACGTATTTCTTCCGTCGCCTTCTGAAGAACCCTTCGTACTACAATCTGGAAAGCCTGGAACCACAGGACATCAACTACTACCTATCTAACCTGGTACAGACTTCCCTCGACGCGTTACTGAATGCTAACTGTGTGGAAATTGAGGAGGTGAGTGAGTTTTTGCTATTTTTGTATACGATATTAAATCTCACAGTGTTAAGATATGTGAAATAATTATAGGTATTAATAAGAAAATGATAATATTAAAAAAACGTGTGTGTGTACTTATGTACGCACGTAAGTTATACTTCTTTGGCGTGATAGAACAAAAATAGCTAAGGATTTCATGCCGTATGTCACAACTCCCTGTTTGTAAAAGGAATGCAGCTAACTTCATCATGGCTCTTTTTGGCTGTCGGTGTGCGCGCGCTTAGTAAAAAGTTTACCCTCATAATTTTTACCAAACGTGCCAAAAGAAGTATAACTTCAAAAACCTCTTTTTTAAATTTACGCGAATATTTGATATTTTAAATTAAATTTGAGCAAAATGAAGCGCGAGAAAAAGTAGGCTATTTAAAAATTATATACACAATAATTTACTCTGATTAATTACTTAGTATATTGAATGGTCCTAATTTGTCTAATTAAATTGGCCGTCGTATTTAGACATTTTTTTGGCTTAAATATAATAATTTTGTAATATTGAGTTGATCTGATAACGAAGTCGAGCAGTGGAAGTGGAAGTAAAACTCTAAAAATGGCTCCTAAAATATTTTAAATTTTGTTTGGTCATTTGATTGATTACTTTATTTTATACGTTAATGTCGGTTAAAAAGTGTTTTTATTTTTCTATAATTCTTTTATATACTTAGGACCAACGTACAGTAAATACAACATGGATGGGACGTATTGCATCGTATTACTACTTATCGCACAAAACGATGGCGCATTTCCACCAGAATTTACAAAGCAATCTCAATTTCGACAATCTTTTAAGAATTTTATCGGATTGTGAGGAATATGCGACACTGCCGGTGCGACATAACGAGGATATCTTGAATGGGTATGATAGAATATATCTATGTAATGTAATATTTACTTTATAAAAGCATTTTGTGTATAGCTCAAATTCATTGAGCCTTCATAGTGTGAAAAATAACAATCTTTATTAATGTTATAACGATGTATATTCATTTGAAGGGTTTCAGACAATGGGATTGTACCGTGTTGAAGCATGATAAAATGATCACATCGTAAGCAAAACAAAAATGACTTAACATTTCCGATTTTTTCGAAAATGGTATGCTCTATGTCAAACAAAATTATACAACTACCTTCTCTATACTTTATGGACCACCTCGAGATCTACCTTCACTCCTCTAACAAAATCAATTAAGCCATCTCCAAAACGTGAAAATGTATATAAAAAATTAAAAAATACAAACAAAGAACCTCTTCTTTTTAAATCGGTCACTAGCAATAATAATTTGATACAAATTGAATTGCCTTATCAAAGTATTTGTTTCCAAGTGAACTCTCCCAACAATGTCGCCTGCCGGTGGACTCTCTGACGCTGGACTCGTCCAACGTGAAGGCGTTCTTGCTGCTGCAGGCGCACCTCACGCGCCTGCCGCTGCCCAACTCCGACTACCTGACTGACACCAAGTCTGTGCTGGATCAGACCATCAGGATTATTCAGGTACTACCGACTCACTGTCCCTAGGTACGTTTTAACTGTTAGTATGGAAAAGATAGATTATCCATACAAATATTATAAATGTGAAAGTGTGTTTGTTTGTCTATCTTTCACGTCGAAACGGAGTGACGGATTGGCGTGATTTTTAGTGTGAAGATAGTTGGAGAGCTGAAGAGTGACATAGGCTACTTTTTATTGCAGGAAATCGTCTCATTCCCACGGGAAAACACGTTATAATACAATCCAAAAAAATATTTACGTTCGGAATTACTCGAAACTTTGTATTCATGCTCTTCAATACAATTAAATAAATACGTGTTTTAATATTTTTTAACTTCATTTAAACTTTCATCCAATTCGGTCAAAAAATGTTATTATTATCTAAAGTGAAATTTGATTTTGTGATTATTTCGTCGGTTTAATTTAGACGAAAAATTTTCGTTTCCATAATAATTAATGATTGACTAAATCAATATTAATGTTTATTATTTATTTATTGTTTTTTATTTATCTTCTCATCACAAAAGCCATTATAACAAGGTTGTGATATCATAAGTAAACTTAACAAATTACAATACTAGATGCTAATAATAAGTAATAAGATGATAAAATTTTCGAAACATTACTCTTTTAATACAATTACTATGTACAAATAATAAAACAAATTCTTATACATCTTTACAGGCAATGATAGATACATCCGCAGAAAACGGCTGGCTGTACGTGTGTCTGTCCTGCCAGATACTGATGCAGAGCATCGTCCAGGCGCGCTGGCCGACCGACGCGCCCCTCACGACGCTCCCCCACATTGAATCCCAACATCTATACATATTCTCCCATATGACCAGAGACTCGAACAAGCCATGCACAATGCTAAACGGGTTGAAAGTAGCGTGTATGAGGAATTATGAGTTATTAGCCAAAAATATGAGACGGGAATTCGAGGAGAATCAAATTGAGCAGGTTTATAGGGTGAGTGAATGTGATTTTTCGTATGAGTTTTTGATTTTAAAGACACTAATAATATATAATTATAATGTTTTACTATTTGTGATGTGGAATAATAATTTTTATCATTTTTAACATAACTATTTTAAACCATTTTGAATGTTTTAAATCCAAAATTAGAAATTTGTTACGACTAAGCGACTCCCCTTCGCTTAAAAAAAAATAACTAATAATTCTTTAGAACCAAACTCGCAGTATTATTGTTTTAAGACATTTATTCTGTCAAAATTTACTTACAAAGATAATACAGAAATAAGATAAAAAATATTGTATCATTGAAATGTTTTTGTACATTTCATAACTAATTAAAATATACAGCAATAACAACGTAATAAAATGGTATAAATAATTACTTATTTTTAGGCAATATGTGATTTACCAACACTCGACCTGACTTTCCACGTGCGAGGTTTGTGGTTCGACGCCGACTATGAACAAGACAAGCGTATCAGACAACCTTCCGGCAGAAATGAATGGATGCCTTTACATGCTGATCAGGTGACATAATAAATACATTTAAATATATTTTTTTATGCAAAACAAATCTAATATTTCAATACCTAAAATATAAATTTACCTATTAGATATTCATATCTTAAAATATTTTAGGCTGCACCGACTTCGAAAATATCTGATTGGGTATCTATTCTAAACGAAAACCCCCGTTTACTTATTTTTTACATTTTAATGCCTGAAAGTCGGCTATTTATTATTTTTTTTAAGTTTTTTTTCCCATTTTTAGTGGAGACATAATAAGCAAGTAATTTGTAAGAAGAAAGTTTTTTAATAACACATTCGATTAAACAATTTATTGAAAGAAAATATATTTATTGTTGATTTTTTTTAAATCGCTCGGCCGATTTCGATAAAATTTATATGGGACCACCCGGGAAGTATACATTTGAAACAAAACAAAAATCCAAATTTAGTTAGGCGTCTTCGAGTAATCGGTGAACATACATAAAAAAAAAGATTCCGACGAATTGAGAACCTCCTGCTTTTTGGAAGTCGGTTAATAATAATAAAAACATTGCAGGAATACACGCTACTAGTAGGCATGAGCCGTCGCGGCGGAAGTCCAAACAACGTGTTATGTCCGCGCTTCCCGCGCGGCAAGAACGAGAGCTGGTTCCTCACACTCGGCTCTACCGAGTACGGCGAGTTGCATGCACTGAAACGAACACCCGCTAAAGGAACAACGCATGTCACCTTCTATACACCTTCCAAGACTGGTAAGTATACTACTGTTCTCATATATTATTTAGTCCTTTATTTATAGAAAGTTAAAAACTATTTAAAGGTTATGACGCACAATAAAATGGTAAAATCTATGTATATGGTACTTGCGATGCGTTGTGGAATAGTATATAGGGATAGAAGTTTTGATCGCCATATAAAATCTATAACAATAATTGAAAATGGACTAGTCTTCATATTAATTGTAAGTGTAAGTTGTAAAAGTATTTTATAATATTAAATGAGCAATTCTTGTATATAAATTTATTTCGTGTATCTCGGAAAACGGCTCTAACATTTTTAATTATTTTTTTTATTTAGATGAGATTTTGCTTTTTAAGTTTAATATATAGGTGTTGTATTTGGAAAGACGCAATTTTTCACAATTTTTTTGAGTAATAATTATTATTAGAGCGTTTTTCGGACTGCTCTCTTGCTGACGTGTAGCGACATCTCGTAAATGTTAGCGGTACTTGCATTATCGCCAATGGATAACCTACTTACAAGCGCTTATTTCTTTTATTAAAGTGTATCATTATAGCTCAATTCATTTATGAACTCTAATGCAAAACAACTGAACATTTAGCTTTCAAATTATAGCATCCCTATATAACTAACGATTCACCCTCGCTTCGCTCGGATTCGACCCTAGGTTGATTCCCCATACAAACTTTCATCCCGATTTTCATCCCCTTAAGGGATGATTTCCAGGATAAAAAGTAACCTATGTCCTTTCCGTGGTCTCAAACTATCTTCTTACCAAATCTTTATATATATAATTCTTCTGTGAGTGTGTATGTCACTGAACTTCTCTCAAACGACTGGACCGATTTTGATGAAATTTTTTGTGTGCGTTCAAGGGGATCTGGGAATGGTTTAGATTCACAATTTGAATAATAATTTTCATCAAAAAAATTATTAAAAAAAGTTTGAAATTTTCAAATTAAAGACGTGTAGACAGGACAACGTCTGTCGGGTCCGCTAGTTTCATCTAAATCGGTTCAATACATCCAGAGACTACCCCCCACAACGTCACAAACTCACAAACTTTACCTCTTTATAATATTAGTATAGACTACGATTCATAATTTAAAAAGCAGCCAAAAATGCTAATTATTTCCCTCATTCCAGGTCGTATCATATACACTGTGTACGTCATGAGCGACAGTTACCTGGGCCTGGACCAACAGTATGATCTGCAATTTGAACTCATGGACCCACTACCAAAAGAAACAGTGGAGAAAGTGTACGACACTACAGATAAAGTTATCATTGAATGATTCTTCGTCACTTTTTTATTATTTGTAAATAAATTATTTTTGTTATACGCTGCGTTTTTATTTAACTTTCACTTATATGATTAATGAAAATGGAAACGAAAAAATTAATTTTCTAAACTCAAAATTACAAATATTATTTTATTATAACATTTTAACTATTACTGAATTACACATATAAATCTATCCATTAAACAATGAATAAAAGTTATATTATACATACATTAACTTTGTCATGTCTATATTCTCCAAATAATTGCAATAGTAAAGTTTTTATCATAATTGATATTAAATAATCTATACAGATAAATAAAATTAAAGTGTCTGTAATATCAAAACAAACAGCTTTATAATAATAAATGCATTTGAAATTATGTACGGTACTTATAAGAAAAACATAATTTTTTAAATTTTTGTCTCCGTCTCTCCATTTGTTTCGAATAATCTCGAAACAGTTGGACTGATTGTGACGGGACTTTCACTATCAGATAGCTGATGATATAAGGATTAACTTACGCTACTTTTATTATAAAAAAGAATTAGGGTCCCGCTCAAAAAAATTAAACCACAGATCACACAATACTATACTAGTACAGTCTCTTAAGCCTAGTTCGCATTAAGCTAGTATTTTAGTCTAGTAGCGAGTAATTTAGTAACTAAACGTGTCTGAACACTAAAAATTTAGTTGATTAGTTTAGTAAGTAATTTAGTCGAGTCAATCCATTTTATTCTATTTTTTTGGGCGAGTAGCAGCCCCCACCACGCGTCCGAGCTCACTGGTTCACCGGCTAAACAAGTACGAACCTGTCGATTTAGTCGAGTTCATTAGTTGCCGCCATAATGTCGTTTCGCTGGAGCGAAGAAATGACTTTTAAATTTGTTTCGAAATATGTTGAACACGAATGCTTGTGGAATATTAGGTCCTTGCATTATAAAAACAAGCATATGAAACATTCCGCATACTTATATTTGGAAAAAATAATGAATATACCATTTTCGTACCCATAGCTTCTTTTTATTAAACACACAAATTTCCTCATCCACCTCTTCTAAAATAGCCGTTACGATCAGCTTAATCAGTTTATTTACTTTATTGCGTTGTAGGCTGTTCATCTTGCAAAACACCACTCACTTGTAAACTGTACTCGACCAAAGTGCGAACGATTTTTGGTGAGTAGCGAGTAATTTAGCTACTACATTACTCGCTACTAGACTAAAATACTAGCTTAATGCGAACTAGGCTTTACCATACAAAGAAATTGGATAATGCTAATTCAGGCTATTCTTCGGACTATTTTTGTTTGCTTGAATAGATTATGCATAGATGTCGTTGATTAACTGTTTTATTTTATCTATAAAAACGGCAATAAAATCACGTTTGTTGTGAGTCCCCTTAAACATTTATTTTATTCTGTTTTTTTTGTATTTGTTGTTATAGCAGCAACAGAAATACATGATCTGTGAAAATTTCAACTGTCTATCACGGTTCATGAGATACAGCCTGGTGACAGACGGGCAGACAGACGGACAGACAAAAATTCTAAAAACTATAGATTCAGACTCTGTATCGATAATAATGTCTATTTCAATTACATTTTCCAAAAAATATTTAATGTACAGATTCGACTTGGTTACAATTTTATTATATGTATAGATATACATAATAGTTACCATTACATGCTTATTGGATTTATATTGGTATTTAATTAAAATGCAAAACGAACAAAAATAAAGGTTGTTTATTGTTTAATAATTAATATTAATAATAAATTATAAGCATAATATGCAATTACTTATATCCATTATTTGACATTTTAACACATTAAAAAATAAATAAAATAATATTATCATAGAATAAAAGGGTTACTAGTTGCTAACATATTAAATTTGAGAAGAAATACAAATTTTAATTTTTCTACTAAATATAGTTTATTCATTATTGGATACAATTTATGTATTATGGACCTACAGTTTTATTTAACAATGCTTATATTTGGAAAGGACTAGATAAGCTGCAACAAGAAGCTTACTAAAGTCTAATAATATTCAAAAGTTACTTGAAATGCTTTTGAAAATGCACTAAGAGTTATCACACAGATATGTACATACCATAAAATAGGCTACCTTAAAAATATTTTTGAACAACATTCACTTATTCACTATATAAAAAAATCTATTTGTCTATATTCATCAAATTATGTTACTTGTCATAATATTATAATACTAATCATACAATACAAATCTAATAAATTTAGAAAATTCAAATAAACAGCAATTATTTTTATAAATTATTATTATTTATTAATTAATTATATATAATTATTTTTTTCAGAAAAACCTTACAATGTTTATATACATACTTCAACGAAATTCACCTGTTAATGAAAAAGACAAATGCAAGTTTGGAAATATTTAAAGAAAAAATATTATGTATGTTTTTCTAACATAATATCAATAGTATTAGCTTAATAAAATAATATCAAAGCATTATCAGCTTTTTTTAATATACTGGCATAATATAACTTTTTATATAATATTTAATTACATGAGAGAATATAATCTTCAATGATATTTGAAATCACAATTACATTAACATATTCTTGAAAGCTTTTTTTGATTTATAATGCACTTCTAAGTCTACTTTTCATTATCAATGTCAAAATGTGATTACAAAAATAGTCTTCACTTCCTTGATTCACATTCCTTCATTCTTAGCACACACCACAAGAGATCAAAATTTAATGACACTCATACAATATCACATATTGTTGGAGTGTTGGCATCCTGTTATTTCCGTTTTTTCTGCTCATACTCAATAGCCCTGGCCTCGGATATAATTTGCCTTTCCCTTGTTAAAATACCATCTAATTGGTTTGTAAAGGCCTCAAAAGAAAATTTAGTTTCAAATCTCTTTCTTCCTGCTTTACCAAAACATTCGCATAGTTCAGGGTTGTTTATTAACTTGCTCATTGCATTTGCAAAAGATCTACTATTAGGTTCACAGAGAAATCCTGTTACATCATTTACAATTGTCTCAGTGGGTCCACCATTGTTTACTGCAACAACTGGTTTACTATAATACATAGCTTCTAAAGGCACTATACCAAAATGTTCATTTGAAGGGGTATATATTAAAGCAGTGCAATTATATAATAGTGATACTTTTTCAACATCTTTGGGAGATTTCATAAAAGTGACTTTGTCTTCTAAATCAAGTTCTGTAGCTATATCAGTAAGTTCCATGAAATGCTCCATATTTTCCAAGTTTATAGGATCAAAACCACCGGCCATTATTAAGTGTACTCTCTCCCAATCGGTAGGATCTATAATACTTTTTAACTCTGCTAATGCTTGTAAAGCTAATTTCAAATTCTTTTTCCTTTCATATCTGTTAATTGATAAAAAAATAAATTTATCAGTGCCAACTGGCACAACTTCTTTAAGATTTTTAGGTATTGTACTGTTAAAGAATTCTGTATTAATTGAAGGATAACAAATATCAGGAATGTCTTTAATTTTCTGAAATGCATCTTGATAAACTCTAGCAGTATATTTACTGTTTACTAGAACTTTGTCAGCTCTTGCAGTAGTTAGTTCCTCCAACCAGTTTAATGGCGCACGATAGATTTTTTTAAAGAGCCCACCTTCAGTAGTCAATAATTTATCAGGATGGTGGCAGTAAAACACAACCCGAAACGGCCCACGTGCCATCTTCAAAAATGGAATGCACAAAGATATGAGATCACAAAATATTAAAGTAGGTTCTTCTACTGGAATAACGTACCAAGCTAAATAAACAGCTGCAAATACCATACGAGCGTAAGCGCATGCCGCTTTAAACCTGCCAAAAATAGCACGCGGGATCCAGTCGCCAATAACCGTCACTGGAAATGTTCCATCTCTGGTCTCTGCGAAGCAGTGGGAAGGATCGTGATGATTTGTATAAAAAGCGACATCGTGGCCTTTGCTTTTGAAGGCCAATGCGGCATCCAAAACTAAACGCTCAGCACCACCAATTCCGAGATCCGGATGGAGAAACAGTATTTTGACCATTTTTACACTAAATTATAGACAAAATGAAACATATAAGACTATATTGTCAAATGTTTTGTTTTATTCTTGAAGTATTGCACAATGCCGACAAATGTCGATTTACAATTTTCCTATTCAAAATAATTTTCTTAGTTATGACGTTACAAATACAATGTCAAAGTCAGAAGTAGGTAATTAACGTTTGGAAATGTATGTGGCTTGCAATAAAACATAAGAATATTGAAATGAATTAAATATTAATATTTTGTAACACAGAAAAACTAACTCATTATATATTAAAACCTAATTTACTAATAGCAAATTCCAGTTTTACTCGCAGTTCATACACTGGAGGGTGGAAAATAGGAAAGCTATACACTTCATAGTTTTAACTCTACAATATGTTAATTAAAATTTTATCATGAGAGTTCAAATAAATGATTAAGCTTTATGAATGCTCATCTAGATTGCACGTTATTACAATTAGTAATCCACTTTCAATCATTCAATCTTAATTCTATCTTAATTCAATATTTTATCCTAGTTTCAAGAAGAAGTAACAAATACATACACAATCTTGCGCGACTATAATACATAATAAAATTACTAGTTTACTACTATCTCAAATTATCATTTGTATTTTCAAAACACTACAATAGGTACCTTATCTATCAAAATATCCTTCATCGGCACTAATATTATACAATATACAGAGTTATTGGTAATTCGACGTATTCCCGTTAGGAGGTGATAGGGGTGAATGTTTTCGATAAAATGGGGGATTACCCCATAAGCATTATGCAAAAGTAAACCACTTTAGAGTTATCATGTTTTTTACGTTTTTTCAAAATAAGTCAAAAATGCAACATCAAAAATTTATTAACCACTTCAACCCCGCTGGTGCCTATAGGCTTTTATTGCTACATATATAAGTGTCACCTCAAGGCTCAAATTGTTAAATAAACTTCGCAAATTAAAAAGGCATTATTCAATAAAATTGAATAGAATACTATAGCCTTTAGCTTGGATGGACTTATAAATTTATCAAGTTTCCATATATTGAAATAGTAACAATCACTATGAATTACATCAAAAGCGGAGATAATATTTTAATAATATGGTGTAACAACGAACCAAGTGAAGTAAGCAATTTAGTAAATGAAATTCCGATGTTACCGTCAAACCCCGCTGGTGCCTAATCTATACCTATTAGGTACCTATAGGCACCACCTCGCCCGATACACTTTTATCACTTATTACACCACGAAATTAATTTATTTTATGCTAAATGTGCCATACATGCAAACTGTAGAAGTTTTATCAACTATATAAATAATTTTTTTATTATAAATATAAAATCAGACCAGATTTCGTAATGTTTTCAAAACCGTAAACATTTCACAAAGAAAATTAAAAAAAACATCTATAGTAAAACTGTGTCCGTTCTGCTGAATAGATAAAGATCTGAGTAAGCTGTGTGAGATTAGAAGAAGAAGAAAAACATGATAACTCAAAAATGGTTCACTTTTGCATAATGCATGTGAGGGTTAACATTTTGAGCTGATTATCTGTTTCTTAAGACACATACAGCTCTTTTCAGACCTAACTTATCTGTTTCACGAGACGTCGAGTGTAGTACAGGGTTATCTCTGAAAGTACTGATCCGAAAAATCTCACGTCACTAATAGAAAGCTACATTACCGCTGGGTGCTCTATGCTATTTCTTTTAATTCTGATACAAATTAGCTTATTATACATAGTATACCACAGATTAAGGAGACTACAATACTACACTTATTGCAATACTTACTATAATATACTAGCAGAAATCATAATAGGTAACTTTAATTGAAAAATAAAACATCATAATTTTATTTTTCATGAGTAGATCATTGTTTAGAAAAGTGGTTATGCAATAAATTATAACATCATTGCAAATCACCATTTTGGAACTTAATAAAGTGAACATGATTAAGGCAAATTCATTACAAAAATATGCAAATCAAATTAATGAAAAAAAGTTATAATTTTTTTCAATTTATCATTAAATTATCATTTATATTAGTAGAACAACATAATTTACATTTAAGTATTTCTTAGAATTTATGCAGTATACTCTTCACCATATTTTTTCTTAATGTTTAATAATTTTATTTAATACAATAATAATTAATAATATTATCACTTCTTAATCAATGTCCGAGTCACTTAGTAAATTTATCTGCAGACTAAAAAAAAAAGTTTGGATTTCAAAAAATTTATTGAATACTAATTTACAATTCATCTCTTCTTTCTATTTTGACAAGATCTACATGGAATGTAAGAGTAGCAGACTTTGGTATCTTGGGTGGAGCTCCAGCCTCCCCATAGGCTAATTCTGGTGGAATTACTAATTTCCTTTGTTCCCCTTCACACATACCAAGTAAACCTTGATCCCAGCCTTTAATAACTTGACCTGCTCCAAGATTAAATGTAAGTGGATTACCTCTTGAGACTGAGCTATCAAATTCTGTACCATCTTCCAATGTACCCTTTAAAAAAACATATTATAATTTAATAAAGACAGAAATATATTTACGAACATTTAGTTCTATGCAACAAACAAACAAATAGTTATAAAAATGAAACTTACAGTATAATGCATGTGAAGGAGGTCACCTTTTTTACTTCTGATAGGGCATTCAGCGGGTCGCTTTTTAACCCCAATTTGCAACTTTTTTGGGGCGTTTGAAGCTATGACCACATATTGAATTACACTCATTAATACTAGGAAAAAAAGAGTAATTTTACAAATCTTTATCAATGCAGTCTTATCCATTTTCGTTTTAAGGTGGAAAATTACTTTTAAGTTAATTCCCAATCTTGAATGAGCGGTTAATTAATTTATTTTTATATTTTAATTAATTTCAAAGCTATAAAATTTAATATATGAGTGTGTGATAAAAAGCTATCACTCGTCACACAAAAATCAAAATTCAATAAAAAGTATAAACATAGTACATAGACTAAAGGCACAGACCACAAACAGTGCACAGCTTCTTGTTGTCCTTGGTCTATGGTGCACAGATATGTATCACAAACTATAAAGAAATATGATGACAAACCTAGACCGAGATAGAATTATCTGTCTACGGATAACAAATCATTTCGCAATAGACTCATTGAACTTCCCAGAGACCATGGAGTATTTTTTATTGTACTTTTGTTGGACATTATTTTCTTTTTGAACATCGAAAAGGAAAAATGTATTTTTTTAGCTGTAATTAATTTGTAAAAAAGTACAAAAAATAAAAAATATATTCACCTGTGAATGATTTAAGAGTTTCAAAATCACTTACTGTAAAATGATATCCACAAGAGCCTTAAATATAAAGATTGTGAATTCGCCAATTTTGGTCGTCTTATTGCTTTAGCCTTTAGCCCACAATCTTCAGTTTTTGTCTTTTGGGAACAAATGATATCTGTTTTCTTTGCATCCTAGCACTGCACAGTTTGTCATTTTAAATAAATTTTAAATAAAATAAAAGAAGCCATCCACGCTATCTAGTTTTTATTTCCTGTTTTCCAATTAGAGCTCTAAAGCGCATTACGCGGCATAATGCTAACTTCAAATATTTCAACCAGTATATAAGTGTATAATCTATGGTTTCAACTACCTACATACAACAACGCTGGTAGCGTGATGCACGCAAGGATACCAACTCAATAGCAGAAAATATGAGAAGTGTTGTTTCTTCAAGGTGGCATTGATCAACATTTTATTTACAATTAACGTTAGTAATATTTGTTTATATTTTATTTGTATAATTATATATTAATTAATTATATATTATTATCCCATCCAGGCAAATTTCTAAGAAATTAATTAAATTTCTAAGAAATCTATTGTTAACTGTAACGCCGGCGTGTCCGTGGTCGTGGAGGGATTATATATTTATTATATAATTTATGATATCGACGATATGTATTATTGTATATTATTAAATATATTATAATATTACTTAGTTATATTTTTTCTTTCATTACTGAACCTAATGCCCTCTGCTGGTGCACTTGAATACAAATTCACGTCCCAATTATACATATTAGCACACTTCGGCATTGTGCACCATCTGTAATTGGAAAACAGGTATACTGAGGATCATACTGATCTGACATCTGGCGGGAACAAAATCAAAATTGTTTCCCAATGCACAGTGTGTGTTTTCTGTTCACTCTGTGCTTGATTTTTTTAAATGTCAAATGTGTAAAAAAGTTACCTATCTACCTATGTCATAAGTCATAACTCAAATGTCTATGTCAAATATCAATCATTTTAGAATAATAAAATGTCAGTGTAATGTTTTTAAATTCATTTATATAAACTTTCCATGAAAATAATATAATATGTTTTAACGTATAAAATATAGATTTAAACAAAAGATTTTATGAACATCAATAATTTAGAATAAATCAATATGAGTCAATCAGATAATTATAGGAAGTTTTTGATGAACAGAGTAACTATTACCCAACCTATTCTCGAATATATTGAAAATTGTTTAGTCACAGAAGATGAAATTGTTAAACATGCATTTCATAAAATAATGGTTAGTAAAGATTTAGAAAAATTGAAATTAAATCTATTTTTATATTAAAGTTCAAACTCTTAATAAAATTTTCAAATATTTCAGATTCACAATTGGGCAGAGAGTAGCACACAATTATTTGAAATACTATGCGATTATTTTGGTGTAGTATTTGTGCCGTTAAATTATACAACACAGAATGTTCTAACAACATTTCACACTACCAGTCTAATGTTTCTTTTAAAAATAATTAAATTAGACTTTATGTTCCCTTACACTCGTAACATGTTTAATATTGACATATTATTTAATGACAAAACATCTACTGAATTATTTGGGGAGAAACTGACTACTGATGATATTGTATCTCAAGTAGTAAGCTTACGGTTTAACGAACATTGTGAATTAAATTTGTCAAACTTCTGTAATGATGAAGGTGCTAATTATATTGCCATTGCTGTAGTAATGTTTTTTTATAGTTATAATAAGTGACTCATAATTAAATTTGTTTTCAGAACTAGCACAAAAGAAAATAAATTTTTATAAACTGTCCTTATTATCATATTTCAAAATACTCATGATAAGGATGGGACGAGATACAAAGATTTTGAACTTAAGTAACAACAATTTAAGGTAGCTATCTCGTCATTTCTTAAAAAGTAACATTGTAGTACTTATTAAGTATTGTATATTTTTATTTATGATGTATAATTTTACATTTTTTAAGAAAATTCTTTCTATCTTCTTAATATAATTCTTCTGTAAGTGTGTTTGTTAAACTACTCCTCCTAAAGTACTGGACTAATTTGGATGAAATTTTGTGTGTATATATCAATGGGTCCTGGATGGTTTGAAAATACAAATGGACCCAATAGGTGTCACTGCAGTCGTACCACTGATCATCTCCTAAATGGCAGGGATGATTTTAATGATATTTTTTGTGTATGTTTGAGTGGGTGCCTGGAAGGTCTGAAAATAAAAAATGGATCCGATAGGTGACGCTGCAGTCAGTGTGTCACTAAATTTTCATAAAAGACTCCATTTTCGGAGCAATAAATAAATTTAAATTTTTGATTAAATAAAATAAAAATGTGTTTATTTGTGTGTTTCCTATGGACTCCAAAACAGCTGGAGCGATTTTGATGAAATTTTCAGGTAATCTTCAGATTAGCCCAGCGGGTGATCCTGTGAATTTTCGTAGCGATCGGAAGTTTGGACGCGGGCGAAGCCGCGGGTACTGCTAGGGTCTTATATAATATATTTTTTGTTTCTTTCAGCCAAGTTCCATTGGAAATATTAAATTTTTTTATTAAAGGGGAACTCATTGGGCTCAATCTTAGTAATAATGATGTAAGTATAGAAAATACTTTGTCAATGTAACAATTTATTCAACTACTTAAACAATTTAATGAATAGGACTATTCAGGAAGCTTATGAAATAACTAAATCAGAAGATGGTTTTCAAGAAATAAATAAATTATAAGATTCAAGTTAGAAGAATTTACAAGATTCAACAATTTATATATGGGGCCATTCATTAATTACGTAAGAGTCCCCAGGGGGAGGGGGGTTAAGAAAATCTTTACATGCCCGCCCTTATCTGAGGTGGGGAGGGGGGTAAAACCCATTCTTACATAATATTTTGGAAGTCGAAACTTAATATTAAAAATCTATATTTATTTCATATTATGCTGAATGATTTTCTTCATTCCATAATGTACACTTCGATTTAGATCTTATTTTACAAATTTTTATTGTTTATTAAAATTTTAAAATCCTAAATATGTTCATTTTCATCCATTTTAAATGTTATAAAAAATAATTATATTATAGTGAATTCTTCTCGCGTATTTCTGATCTAATTCTTTTCTAACAACGTTTTATATTATTCAGAAAAACGAGATTGAATCTTACGTAAGAAGAGGGAGGAGGAGGGGGTGTCTAAAATCCTCAAAATCATCCTTACGTAATTAATGAATGGCCCCTAATGACAGTAAAACCTATGTGCATATAAATTTGATATATTTTTTAACAATAGTTAAATGTATTTTTTTAAGATTCCATCAGTATCTGAGTTGCACAGAATTAGTAGTAAAATAGAAAAACTTTGGGTGGAAGGAAACCCACTGTGCGAAGACATGGAACCAATGACATATATTAAACAAATCAGTCAGAAATTTCCCCGATTAACTGAATTGGTAAGCTTAACTATGAGTTTAAAATAATAACAAATATTTTTATAGGTTTTGTGTTATGTCAAAAACTGAAACAATGTTTAAATGTAATAATAAATGAAAATAATATCTTAACTGTATTCAGTCATAGTGGCCAATCTCACTGAGATTTCACTCAATTTCATGGGACATATTATTATAGTGTAGCGTTTAGATGTGTCTGAGCAGACAGAAGCGCTATCTATTCTTTTAACTCATATTTCCATCTAAAATTGACGCAACTGTTGAGAGATCAGACGCAAGACTGACGGCTATTTAAGCTCTCTTATAGACATGATGTTGTTGAGTATTTTGTAATAGTAAAGCCCCATAACTATTTTATTCCAATTAATGGATTGAACCCAGGACCTCACGATCTGCAGCCGTCCATGCTAGCAACTAAACCAGTGAAGTAGTTTCAATAGTAAATTAAATAATGGTAATACAAAAAAATATTAATTTTAAACTTATTTCAGGATGGGGTGAAATTAAATGAACATGGTCTAATGATACCATTTTACAGCAATTTTTTAATTTCACCAGATAAAAAAACAAAAATGATAATAGAAAAGTTTGTATCCTTATATTTTGCACACTACGACTCTACACGACTAAAGATAGATATGTTTTATGACCAATATGCTCATTTAACACTTTCAAATACTTTCACAGGTAATATAATATTTATTTATTTCATTTTAATATCCCTTAGTATAAACTAATATATTATATAGGAAATACAATACATAAATATATCCATATATAATATATTATAATTTATACAATTATAATAAACACAGATATTAAGGATTTTTCATTTTTTTTTCTATATACTATAAATACCAAAATCATTCCTCTATTAAACTCTAATCGAGAACTTTAGTGTTGCCCTGGTTTCCAAGTTAATAGCACTATCACTTGTGGTAAAGTGAAAAGTGGTACACTATATACCTTATATGTTGAAGACCTACCATAATTTACCAAAATAATAGACTTATTTATATCATATTTATATTTTAGAGGCAGATGAAACTGCAATGGAGAGTTATGTAAAGCACTCAAGAAATATTTTAAATCCATTACATAAAGAATGGGACTTCAAATATAAAAAAATCTACAAGAAAAGGTGTGCCATTTTAGGAGTGTTGTCAAAACTACCAGAATCCATACATGACCCGAGTACATTTACTATTGATGTATTGAGACATGATGTAAGTGTCATGATTAATTATTATAAAATGCAAATGGTGTCATTAAAAATCAAGTAGAGGTTTGGATAAAGAATTTAAGGTCACAAATTATATAAATGTATATGTTAATTTATTTGTTACAAGCGACTCACCCTCGCATCGCTCAGGTTCGTCTCTCAAATCCCCATACAAACTTTCATCCCCATTTTTACCCCCTTAAGGGATGATTTCCGGGATGAAAAGTATCCTATGTCCTTCCCAGGATCTCAAACTATCTTCTTACCAAATTTCATCAAAGCCGGTACAGTAGATCCATAGATTACCCCCTACAACGACACAAACTTGGTTATTAATACCTTTATTTCTAGTATATATTTAGTATTTTTTGCACTATATTGCCCGCTGACATCTTCTTCCACAACCAGGGGTTGACTGGAAGAGATCTCTTTTAGAGATAAGTCCACCTTTGTGAACTATGTTTTTTTTTTCTGTATCATATTTTGAGTGCAATAAAGAATATACAAACTACAAACTTTACCTCTTTATAATATTAGTATTGATATATTAATAGTATCAATAGATGGTGTAGCCTTCGATCGCTAAAATATGTCATATGGCTAAGAAGTTTGTTTGGTGCCTTTGCCTTACGTAAAACCGCTAACTAGATAGACATCTTTTATTGCCAGCCCTACATACTACTGCTTACCATTGAATTGGAGATGCAGGCAAGACCAGCGTTTACTTAATTCATATTTTTGTCTTTAAATTGACTTTTTTATTTTGTTACAGAATAAATTGTTAATAGTTGTGATAGAAGGTATTTATAAGGAAAAACCCAAGGGCAGAGTGGAACAGTTTATACATTTCCGAAGAACTTTCATATTCGACATCTACTCAATCAACATAATGTCATTTTATAATATTGTGTACGAGATGTTTACCGTTTCACTTGCTACTCCTGAAATGATACGAAACAGTTTTAAGGTAAATTTAAATTGTATATATTCACATTCTATGCTAATATATTCATGCTGGAGAGTTTTTATTTTGCTAATCTCGAAAACGACCACTCCGATTAGATTAATACTATTTTTAATTTTATACCCTATTTATTGACAGAGTTATAGGCTCTATATAAATACATAAACTAAACGTTTACAAATACATAAACTAATGACCACTAATAATACTAATACTGACTGAATAATATGAGATGTCAGTGCTTTTATGTTTTTGTGTTTGTTTTCCAAGTATTTAAATTTTGGATTATATATTTTTTATTATTTAGCATCCAGTGAGACATTTAAATCAACTAACTCTGATAAATCCAGACAAAGAAGAAAGAGATATGATATGCGCGGCTTTTATGCATTTGACGCAACTAAAAAAATCTGAAGCCGAAGCGTAAGTTATTATTTATGTTAATATTATTAGCTTGTTTTGAACCCCAAGGGTTCAAAATTAACGTTCTATTCCTAGAATCAAATCAACAAGGGAACCATTAAGATTATTAAAAGTTAAGTTTATATTAATATTTCTTGTTTGTCAAGTTAACTAAAAGCAACCAGGCCTTAACAGGAATTCAAGTGCATTGTAGGCTAAATATACGGTTTTGCCATATGTATTGTATGTATTCAGCCTTTTTTGACGTCCCACTGCTGGGTACGGGCCTCCCTTCAATATGAGGGGGATCAGGCCATAGTCCACCAAGCTGGCCAAGTGCGGGTCGTCGGCCTTCACATGTCTTTCGAAAACTTGCTAGGTTATCTTAAACATGCAGGTTTCCGCATGATGTTTTCTAATTGCGGTAATTATGTTGAAAATATTCACATATGAAAATATCAGAGGTGCGAGACTCGAAATTTGAACCTGCTTCACTTGGTTGCCCAAGTGAGCGCGTCTCCACTGGACTGGCCGACTCAACTACTACTGCCATACGTATATACAAAAAAAATACGTGTTTTAAAAATGAAATAAAGTTAACAAATTGTTAAAAACAATAGGTAAAATATACTTTAAGTAGGATGATATTAATGTTCTTAAATATTTTTAGCCGTCTTCTTTACAATGATTGGGACATAAGAGTTGCTCTAAAAGCATTTACAGCAGATTTGAAGAATAATAAGATTAATGATGATAAATTAATGCTGGATGAAGAAATGTCGGATATATCATCACTTTTAGACGATGAAGTGGATTAATAAAATTATTATTAGAAATAAAATATTTTTGTTTTTTTTTCATCTAATTAAGATATTCAAGAACAGTCAAGTATAGTGAATCTTAAAAAAAATGTAACTAGCAGAACCCACAGCTTCACTCGCGTGAAAACTACAAAAAAAAATCTCTAAAGAGGTACATCCATTTCATACAAACTTTCATCACTTATTTTATCCAGGGATGAATTTCTAAAAATGCTAAAACACGTATTTATTTAATTGTACTAAAGATCTTAAATCTTTTTTTGGTTTTAATTATAACGTGTTTTCCCTTGGGAATAAGATAATCTCCCGTGGTAAAAAGTAGCCTATGTCACTCTCCAGCCCTCCACACAAAGAATCACGCCAATCCATCACTCTGTTTTGACATGAAAGAGGGACAAACAAACAAACACTTTCGCATTAATAATATTGGTATGGATATTGGATACGGATCTTCATATTACTCAATTATGATAGCATAGTAAAAATATGACTATTATTAATATCCATCCATGATCTATGGTGCGTGGCATACCGCAAAATATCGTCGTGCCGTCACATACACAATCACGGAAGGTAAAAAACTGTTAATTCTCTTCCGTGTAAACAGTACATGTACTCGAGAAGATTTCATCATGTGAACAAAATCTGATGGACTACCCAACTCGTGTGTATAAAAAAATAATACTCTGTGGTCGTATATAATTTGTGTATGACATTGACATATTATTATTTTTTGTCTGTTATTAGCAATTAAATAGGTACCTAACCTGAAAGTTACAAATATGGAGGGTAGAAGTTCCGTTGTTACAAAATAAACTCCATTTCCAGGCTACCTACTATTTGAAAAAAACATTGTAGAAGAATTTCAAACTAGGATTGTTTAATTTAAAATATTATACATAAGTCTGTATTTTTTTTTTTTAATTCATTTGTTTTTAAAGAAAAGATAGAAAGTAAATATAATGGCAAATAATTCTATGGGCCAAGCTCCTAATATGCCATCAATTGGTGCAATCAATTCACAAACTATGCAATACGTAAATAATCCTCTTCAAAGTCCTCAACTACAATCTGCTCCTATCCAAGGATCACCTTCACAACACAGTCCGATGGGCACACAACAAGTTGGTACTAAAGTTAATCAAGGTGGAGGTGATCAAACTACACAGGTATAGTTATTGAAATTTGAAATATTAAAAATAATCTTGAGAAAGCAGAAGTTATAATAGTAAGCAGTACATGGTATATCTACTTGTTACAAAGTAAAAAATTGATTGTTTTTGTAAAATGCATTCTAGTGTATACAATAAATTTTTGATCATTTTAATTATAGTAAATAAATCTAATCGTTGAATGATGAGTCTTTTTTTTTAAGTTACTCAGTCGACCTCGACTTCAAGAACTAGTGAGAGAATTAGATCCCACAGTCCAGTTAGATGAAGAAGTAGAAGAAATGTTGTTACAATTAGCTGACGACTTTATAGATACAACGCTTGGTGCATCATGTTCTCTTGCCAAGCACCGACATGCCCCCAATGTGGAGCTAAAAGATGTTCAATTACATTTAGGTAAGAGTCACATCATTAAATGATTTATTTTTTCCAATACAATCCAGATAGGCAATAAAATGTTAAAAATGAAGTATTTTTATGCTGGCTTGAACTATTTTATATAACTCTAGCGGCTCACCCTCACTTCGCTTGGTTTCACCTCTAGGAAAACAAAAAACAAACCTATCCCTCTGCAACATTTTTTTGGGATAAAAAGTAGCCAATGTGTTATTCCAGACTATAATCAAACAGAGATATCTGTGCCAAATTTCACAATACAAAGAAAGAGTAATAAACATCCATACATATTCACAAACTTTCACATTTATAATAATAATATAGATTTAATATTTCCAACTTTGAAACATCACTCAATGACACCTGTATATATTATATATTTTTCAGTGTTCTCTGGAACTGATGTAATGAAATTATATTCAAAATATGTTATTTTTTTTAATTATTTTCTGTGAACAGGGCATTCTATTGTCCCTAGCAGATAGGTTGCTTCACCTAAAATGTTTTATTTATAGCCAAGCTCACCAAGCTAACTCAGTATTAAATCTCTTAAGGATTCAATTTTATGTATAGTCTTTTTATATTGTTTAATTAGGAAAGAATGAAAAAAAGTTTTCATTTTTTTTTAATGTATTAATATTATAAAAATTCAAGTAAAATAAAACCAAAATATGACAGAATTATTAAAATACCTCAATAAACGAAAAAGTTATGAAACTTTTACACTTGTAAGAATAATTTCGTTATGTCACACCACCTGAACTACCGAAATTTAAATTAATTTCTCACTCATTGATAGATTTCAGAACTAGTAGACCAGTTTTTTCACTGATTTATTCATTTGGTCTATATTTTAATTACATTAAATATGATATTAATAACATCATGAAACTTCTCCATTATAATTAAATAGATTGCTTATAAAAAAATATTTTTATTTTAAAGTTGGTTACTACTTCCTAACCATTATAAGATATGAATTTATGTCACAGCAATCAGCATACATCACATCTTGAGTAAGGGCTTCTTTTATCATTCATATTTTATATATTATTTATATATTTTTTTGTTACAGAAAGACAATGGAATATGTGGATTCCTGGTTTTGGAAATGATGAACTTAGACCATATAAACGGGCCGCTGTAACTGAAGCTCACAAACAAAGGATGGCCCTCATAAGAAAAACTATTAAGAAATACTAAGTTTCTCTTTTATTCTTTAGAATTAAATTTTGTATTTAAATATTCATAATAAAACATGGGAAATTTATGTGGGATATCAATAAAAACCAAAAATCATTTTTATAACACACTATTTTGTTATCTTAATCAACATCACAAAATCATGTCAATAGAACTATTCAAATACAACACGACACAAGTACAATAAAATTAAGTATCCATCAAATCACATTTAAATTACTTATTTGTAAGATGTAAAATTTTAAATATAATAAAGGAATAAAATACTGGTTGAAGAACCCAAAATCACAGTCAAGGCTTACCGTTGAATAATGCATAATATTCTGATCTTTTGGAATGTTAATATTTTTTAAACACCAATTCACATACATATCATAAAAATAAAATACACAAAGTATTGCTTAAAATTTGTTGCAACTTTAAATACGGACAGCAAAATTTCAATCTACGAAATTATAAAATTAACATTTTTAAGTAAGCCTAATTACTTACCTAAAGCGAATTGTCATGGCTACGCCATTATCTAGTATCTACTAAAATCTAAAATCTACACAATCGTCAATGAGTTATATAATATTTTGTGATTATATATCAATTGATAAGTGCTATGGTTTAAAACCAGTGCATGGTGCAAGGCCCATACATGATATTAAAATATCTTTAAACACTCTTAAGACTCCTCTCAAATGATGAACACAGTTGCCCTTCATTTTTGACATTATAAGCAATATATTTTAATAGAATAGGCCGCAACTGAACTATACAAAACCACGCTTCTCTCCCCACATTTTGTTCTGTCTGCTCTGTAAAGGAAATATAAAGATGAAAAATAATAAACTTAACAGGATGCAAGTTATTATAAGATGCAGGAATGCTTAGTTACCTACTAGTATAATAACCTAATATTTGCATTTAAAAATATTATATATAAATCTCTTTAATTTTTTAGACCTTGGTTCATGTTTTGCGTCGTAGTAGATTCGTGAACAAGTTAGAATTTTGCATACTTAACTATAAAAAATGATAATATATATATATTTATTCTATTTACAAAAATGTTTTAAATTACAATAATTAGCAATAATAAAAATTATAACAGAGAAAAAAATAAAAACTCAGGTTCCACCGAGATTTGAACTCGGATCGCTGGATTCAAAGTCCAGAGTGCTAACCATTACACCATGGAACCGATATGAAGTTATTCCAAATTTTCTAAGTGTTTCGTTTTTTTGTTATAATCTTTCTTTTTCACTCTTCTTTATCTTTTTTTCTAGAAATATTTTGCACTGATTCATATATAAATTTAATGATAATTTTGAAATGCAACAGATAACAGTAATAATTGTTATCACTATTGTGGTTATATTAACTTAAATTTTATTATGATTTTACAATTGAAATTGATTTAACCAACAAAACATTTGTGTAATAACAATATTCAACGAATGTTTGCTAAACATATTACAGGCGAAGATGATTTGAATGTTAAATAGTGATTAATATAATTGTTATTTTGGCCTTGTTAGAATTTAATATATTTAGATGTTTTTCTATATACCTACAAAAAAAGTCTCTGTTCGTAATATCAAAATAAGAGCTTTTAAATTAAATGTGTACGAAATTATATACGATAATTAGTTATACGAAAAATACTATTTTAAAATTTTTTGTCTGTCTGTTTGTTCTGGCTAATCTTCGAAACGGCTGGACTGATTTTAACGGGACTTTCACTGGCAGTTAGCTGATGTTATATGGAGAAACTTAAGCTATTTTTATTTTAGAAAAGATTAAAAAATAATTAAAACAAAGCGAGAGTAAGTCGCTGCTTAAATATAAAAAAATATTACGTTGAGGCTACCTACCTCTCATGTATGGGTCATTGGGTTTGTTTTAATAAAAGTTAAGTACGTCTTAGTATGCGCTGGCAGTTTCTTTATCAGCAGCAGGTATGTAGAGATGATCGGACGGGTCTAATTTCTGCCAGTGAAGCAACTTCGATTTAATTTTCACTGGTTCCTGAAACAAAGATGTATTGTATGTTTAATTTTATTAATATAATAATTGCGATAACGTTAAATACAAAAGATGTACGTGATTTCTTGCATAAAGTACTTTACGAGCTGAGAAAGTTATAAGTTTACGAGTGGGTATTACGATAGTACGATTCCCATCGGATATTAGTCTATTACAAATCTTATATATAAGTTACTTTAGTAATGTAATAAAAAAAATATAAAAAATGTATATAATAAAAAAGCAACCTATGGTAAAGCTTTTTTAAAGTGACTGAAACGCAACACGGGGATCGCGAGTTGGATGACCGCATAAAATATAGGTATGTCGGTCTAATCTGACACACGATGAACTGACAATATGTTTAAATCCTGAATTTAGTTAGTTATCTCTTTAAAATATTTAATGAAAGGGGAATTTAAATAATATACGTGAGAAAACTTCACAGAGCTATTCAATATTGCGCAAAACCATACATTTAAAAGGATATAAGGTAAAGCAAAGTTAACATAAACATAATAAATGGAAAAAAAAATTTACTTGATTTTATTATTATGTACAATTTGCAGTATTACGATAGCCATTAAATTAAAGTACAAAGAGGTTTTTTTTTAAATAAAAACGACATTATAATACACTATGTAGAGAACAATAGGATATAAGATGGTTTAAAACATTTTGAATTAATAATTTCCTGAATCAAGTTTTGTTATTAACTTGGAATCATAATGTCTATCATTATAAAATCTCAAAACAAGTCACGATAGTTCAGAATGATCGTAAGTTGTTGACTTTGAATTTATGAGGAAAAATAAAATTTAAAGATTTTTTATTATATATATATATATATATATATATATATATATATATATATATACTAGCGACTCACCCTCGCTCCGCTCGGGTTCGTCCCTAATGTGGGCCACCCTTATCACTTAGTTGTATGGAAAATAGATAGTAGCCGATTCTCAGACCTACTGAATACGCATATGAAATTTGGTAAAAATCGGTAAAGCCGTTTCGGAGGAGTACGGTAACTAACATTGTGACATGGAAATTTTATATATTACATATATATATGTATGTGTATATATGTATTATGTATATATAAATTAAATTCCTAATTATTATTAAAAGTTACATCCAAATAAGTTACGTTCATTTATGTGTAGAAACAACGCGGACGAGTACTTTATAAGATCAGAATAAACACAAAACAAGTGCGAAGCCATACATATTTGCTTATGTTCTACGGTTTCGTAATCGTAACGTCTCGGGCTTTGTTGTGCGGCAGAAATTTACAGAAATATTGCTTCATGCTAATGACTGTAGAATATATAAGGCCCATCAAACAAGGAATTATCCATAAGTCACGTCAAGTCGTGGTTTTCCGATTGCTACTGAAATTGTAGTCAAGTGATGTCATAAATTAGAAATTGTAATATAAAATGCAATATAAACCATAAATCTTCTTTTTTTTTAGATTAAAGCACAAATAAACTGCTATTCTTATTATGATGAATATAATAAACGGTTCTTACGATAGCCTGTTAACTGATTTCATATATTTTGTTATAAATAAAAGAAATATCTACCATTATAACGTCATATTATATACTAGCGACTTATTCTCGCTTCGCTTGGGTGCGTCCCAAGTTTTAAATAGGTATGAATAGATATTACGAGTGTGCTTTACGAGAAAGAATTATGATATTGCAGATTTTTCTATAGGCCTTATTAAGATTTAAGGCCTACAATTTTTTAGTGCATTGTTTTGATGTACATATCTTTACGGTTTTGCCAGCATTGGACATGTAAATTTCTAAGGACGACTTGATAGAATCAGTTTTCCCAAGGGAATGAAAGATTTTCCTGTGTTAAAAATTATCCTAAACGTTGACCCGACTAACAAGTTATCACTACACACAATTTAATCAAAATCGGTCCAGTAATTTTTGCGCGAAAGGCGAACACACAGACAGACCAAAATAATCATTGTTTTGGGGTCTATATTCTGTGCACAATACGTTACAGTCATTGTTTTAAAAAAAATATTTCGTGCAGGTACCTACAGATTTCTCTATGTTACTGTTTTATTATATGTATATATTTACTTATGTGTAATAATATATTAGCTAAAACTGTAGTAATAATTATATACTATTTAGGGTCAAAAGTCAGTTAAATAATAACCTTGTTATATATACGAGTATAATAATAATTTTTTATTACGACACAACCACGCGTTGACGCGACATCAAGAGAGAGATAAACAACGTATTTTTGATAAAAACATAAATATTTACGCATACATTTATTGAAATTAATTCTCTTGATAGATCATCAAGGACCTTGACATACAATGATAAATTGTTATAACTGCGCCATATTCTATGACCTAGTAATGTACGTACGTATTAGTACCTATTGGTTATAACGATTAATATTACTTAATCGGAATACTGTTATATACCTACCTATGCGAAAGTTTGTGTTTGTTTGTTACTTCTTCACGTTGCAATGGCTGGGTGGATTTGAATGAAATTTAGAAAACACTTAAATTATATATTGAATGATCACCTAGTGTGCACACGTGCCACGAGTGAAGTAAGGTTGAATGGCCAGTAAATATAATATTAATCCACTACCGGCTCCGCCTGGCTTCGCTCGGGTTCGTCTCTAGGAAAACAAAAACAAACCTATCCCACGGGAACTGTACATTTTTCCCGGATAAAAATTAACCTATGTGTTATTGTAGACTATAATCTATCTCTGTGCAAAATTTCATACAGATCGATTCAGCCATTCTGGCGTGAAAGAGTAACAAACATCCATACTTACAAACTTTCACATTTATAATATTAACAACACGGATTATCTGTTTTTATTTTTTTGTTTACGACTAGCCGTCGATATGTTGTCTTAAATAATAGATTAATAATCTTGACATCGGGCCAAGCAATACTGGGCATCAATACCTCATTTAGTCATCCAATCCAGAAACACATTTATTTGCCTGATCGTATCTTGAGTTTATTCTATGGCGTTTCGTTTCTGTTGCAGTAAGCCACTTTAAATAACAATGAGCTGTTGATATATCAGAATGCATAATATTATCATTTACATTCAAGGATTTTACGTACCTATGAGGAATTTATCTGTACATATTATATAATATACTTTTACATTGTAATATATACTGGCAATACATATTGTTTACCAGACAACTTCGCACGGTTATTTTTGACCGAAATCAAAAATGATGTACTCAATTCGTCTGTATTTTTGTGTGTATATTGTTCCTATATTAGGTGATATTTTCGCCAATTGTGAACGAATTTTAATTAATAAAACTACTATTATAAATGCAAAAGTTTACGTGCGTGTATATTTGTTACTCCTTTGATTTGGATGAGTACATATATAGTTAATCAATCGTCCTAAGCTTTTCACTAAGGAGATAGATAGATCTGGAGTAGCACACAGGCTACTGTTAGACACCTCCCTATATACGAGAGAGAAGTGACGATAAGTCGCTAGTTATCCATACAAATAAGATCAGTCAGTCAGTCAGTGATACAAATTTTCCACAAGCCTTGAGAACTGAATTCAAGAAACTCTAAACCCGTGTTTTATATTGTGTATGTTTAATGTTTATAAAGTACCTACAGTAAAATTTCAAGTAAAGGTCAAAAAAAGATTATTTTAAAAATCTGTCGTCTTACATTTTTCACTATATATAAGTACAGGAATTCACTTTCAACGCTTTAATCTCCTGTGTGAGTAGACACATAATAAATCATTCAGCTCGAACTTTGAACATATATCTAAAATAAATATTTTGTATGAAAAAACAAAGATAATATAATACTTTCTTAGATTTACGCGAATATTTGACATTTTAAATAAAATGTCAAATATTCGCGTAATGTTGATTGTGGGTAGGCTGTCTGTAACAACTATACCTCCAAGACATGTAACATCTCAGTCTCTCCCGTGACCATGGATGCTGTAAAGCATTCGAAACGTCGGGAAACAAAAATGCAAATAAATCCGCGAACAAATCCGAAAAGATAGTTTTATTTAAAAGATAATATAGTTTAAAACTAAGTGGATTTTTGATTTAGTAAAGATGATGGAGAACAGATAACGCATATTTTGTTATATGAATTCTATACTATATTATAAATCTATACTATATTATAAAGAGGTAAAGTTTGTGAATTGTGAGTTTGTGATGTTGTAGGGGGTAATCTCTGGATCTACTGAGCCGATTTAAATGAAATTTGGTAAGTAGATAGTTTGAGACCCTGGGAAGGACATAGGATACTTTTTATCCCGGAAATCATCCCTTACGGGGGTGAAAATGGGGATAAAAGTTTGTATGGGAAATCAACCTAGGGACGAACCCGAGCGAAGCGAGAGTGAGTCGCTAGTCAATAATAATATTTAATCAATATAACTGTCGAATAATGTATCAAAAGTAATATTGGGAATAATTAAAAGCAGATGTCTCGAGAATCGAATACTTGCCAAATAGCCGCGGTAACTAATATATGATGAAAGCTAGTCGGGGACTTACAACAATGATATAAATAGCAAAAGATCACATTATAAAGGATGAAGTTATTATTCTATTATTGCCAGGTAAATCATCAATCATAAGTGTTCTTTGAACGTGCAACTTATCTATTTGTTTGCTATATATAGCACCTTGATAAAATTTATATATACACATAAGTAAGATTTCCCGGCATAATATTTAGTTTTTAACTACGAAAATAATAATCCATCCTTTGTATTGCTCGGAAACCTTTTTAATTTTTAAACCGGTTTTGGTCATTGACTCCGACCCGAAAGGTGTTTCGGTTTAAGGTCGGATATATAGACCGGGAGAACCGTTTTTGACGAATTTAGGTTCCATAAACAAAATTAACCGGTTAAAATGAGTTTTTGTGTGTTTACATTTGGCACGTCTTTGCTAATGGTGAATGGCTTAGTAG